GTTCAGTGAGCTCGACGTTGGCGTTGAAAGGTGCAGTACTGTTGTAACGGCCGCCGATGGGGTTTGCTGCTGCGACAACGGCGCAGCGAGCTTGCAGTGTGGTGACGATACCAGCTTTGGAGATGGAGATTGTTTGCTGTTCCATGGCTTCGTGGATGGAGGTACGGTCTTGGTCGTTCATCTTGTCGAACTCATCGATCAGACATGTACCGCGGTCTGCAAGAACGAGAGCACCACCTTCCAGAGTCCATTCGCTGGTTAGCGGGTCGCGGCGCACGCTGGCTGTCAGACCGACGGCACTGGCACCTTGACCCGTTGCAAAGACAGCACGGTGGGCGGTCTTTTCAACGTATTTAAGGAATTGAGATTTGGCAGTACCGGGATCACCGAGCAGTAGGACGTTGATATCTCCACGGATCGACATCTTTCCTTGGGCTTGCTTGCTAACACCACCAAAGAGGGAGAGAGCGACGGCTGTTTTCACGTCTTGGTGGCCGTAGATACTGGGAGCAATGGAACGGACGATCTTGTCCACGATTTCTGGGTCTCGCGAGAGGGCGCGGATTTCACGCTCATCTTCTTCAGTCAAATGGAAACCAGCCAGCTGGTCGTGAGACTTGATAACATGATTTGCTTCGATAATAGTGGCGAACACAGGGAATCCATTCTTGTTGTTGAGCTGGGCATCGTAGCTGTTGCGGTAGATACCAGTCACTTCAACTTCGTCACCAGGCTTAGCGGAATCAATGAGGTCTGCAAGAAGGATCACTTCACGTTGGCGTGGAAGTCGTCCAGCGGGGACGGAGCCAGGCGATTCTTGAAGAGTCATCTTCTGGTAGTTGCGGTAAACCGTCTTCTCTGAGTTAACGGTGAACGGCCCCTTGGACTGGCAGTTCTGGCAGTAGGAAATCTTTACTTCCTGGCTGGCTTCCTGCTGGAACGGCCCCAGAGTGATATTACATTTGCCACAAACGAACATGATATACTTCAATTGCGGGAACACACCACTGCGGCGCGTAACGACACCAGTGACACGCACAAGGGAGTTGAGATGAGACTGGCGCAATTGACGGAGAGTACTGATGGTAGGAAGATCGATGATGCGAACGTGGATCTCATTATGGATGTCGTGGTACTGGGGGTAATGGAATAATGTGACATCGAGAGCAACTTGATCGAAAACTTTCAGAACCTCGGTGGGCTCATTGGCCACGAAGTATGCCAACACAGCCCTGGTGCTGGACAAGTGATCGTAGGAGACTTCGAGAGAGGCCGAGTTAACCTCACCAAGAGTCTTGATCTTGTTTCCGTACACCGAAGCACCGGAGTCGTCAGTGAACTCGGTCAAGAACGCCTTGAATTCTCGGTAGATGGAGCGCAGGACTTGGGGCTGCAACACCCAGTCTGTGACATTAGGGGCCTTGATATCCATCATCTCTTCCAATGACAGGTCTTCCATGCCACCTTCACCCATGTCAATATCTTCTCGGTCCTCGTCGTAGTGATGCCTCCGCCGGCGAGGCTGGCGAGTAAGATCTATGTTTTGGTCATCGTCGTCTTGCAGAAAAGCACGAGGCATGCGACTGCGCCGTGCCAGTTCCCGGTCTCTCCTGTTCAAGCGAGCTTCCAGTTGGCGACGTGTGCCTATGTCTAGCTCTTCTTGTTCTTCGTCATCAATGTCGGCTCCCTGATAACGATCGTCTTCTCTGCTCGTGTAGTCTCTTTCGAAGCTGTCGCCGAACAGATCAATGCCCTCTCCTTCCTCTGCCATTTCGTCAAGGTCGTCAATATCTTCCAAAAGCTCTGCTTCTTCATCGCGGTCGTCATCTTCAAAAGGAAGCATGGGAGGGGAAGAGGGGGGGGCTACGAAGTCAGTAAGGACACAGAACAGATTCTTTCTTCATGCTTCTACTTACGACTAGAGGGGGGAGCGATTGAAGATGTTTCATCATCGGGCTCTCTGTCTCTCTTGCGACGGTTCAAATTGCCTAGCCCACGGTTTGCGGCGGTATTACTGGGGCGAAGTGGTGAACTGTGTAGCTCTTAGCCTTGCTCGAAAAGTTGAACAGCAGGGAGAAAAAGAGAGAAAAAATTTCGGGATGGATAATGCGCTACATGCAGGATATATTTTGGTACATACCTCATTGTGTGTGTGTATATTAGTGTGAGGGATTCTAATTTGAAAGAATGACAAATTGAACCAAACCCACAAATGTTTTTGAGTGAGGGTCTTTTTGGTGTGCTGCGAGGAGGAGCAAAGGGAGGGATTCAATCAATCGGTTGCTGGGGCGGTGATGCGTGCGGGTATCGAGATACGCGTCAAAACGCGACATGACGCGTCTTTTCAATTAAACCCGGTTTAGGAAAGTCTATGACTTGGTGCCTGATAATATACCCCAGAGGCCTAGACATGGTCTGGTTGCACTAATGTAGAAGCTCTGGAGCAAGTCTCTACGCGCTATTCCCTTCTTAGGATCTCGCTCAATGAGTGAGACTTAGAATGTTCATCTTTCGTCGTTCAACGTGATTATCACGATGGTGGATATAGTCCTGGAACAGACATACGGTATGATTCGCGATGCGCTTCATAACCGATGTTTCCATGGTTTAAAAGTAAGTAAAATTCAAATTATACTCTCATCATTGATCTAAAAAAGAAGTATTTATATGTATATAACAATATAAAATGTAAAGCAAATAAATCACGCTCGGCTCATTACTAACTGCAAACAAAGCAAACACTTAAAGTGCTCTGGCGCCGCGCCGTGTCTGAACGCATAACGAGAGCTAGGCGCAGAACAGTTTTTATTCATCCTACCATCGCTGTTTGATTAGTATACTTATATCTAAATCAGCGGCTCATTTAATTAATATGGATAACTCTGAGACCGTGCCGTCTGATGCCGACCAGACGAAGAACGGCCACAATGCCAGCAACCGGCGCGAGAGCTTCAGCTCGCAGAACTCGCAGACTGCGAAAGAGTAAGTACCCACTCCATGTCAAAGTTGATGAAGAGTACACTCGTGCAATGGGCGATCCAAAATAAACCAATATCTAACAGTTCACTTTAGATTCATCGAAAGTCAGATGCAACTCGAAGCTGATGCACGCGAAATCTTACCTTATGTGAGCATAGCCTGCGATATACCACGACACAAGGAACTGACCTTTTAGTCATTCGACTCCTGCACGAAAGATTTAGGGCCATTGCGACAAACTTTATACGCTTGCTTAACCTGCAACCCTCCTCCAAAGACCGCCGATGCGCCGCACACCGCAGCAGGAGTGTGCTACTCCTGTTCCATCGCCTGTCATGGCGAGCACACACTCGTCGAACTATTCAACAAACGAAACTTTGTATGTGATTGTGGTACGACTCGTATACCATCGTCCGCTCCATGCACGTTGCGCAACGACCCAAAGACCGGCGCGAAGGGCGTCCATTCTGAACAAGCGCATCCCGAGAACAAGTATAACCAAAATTTTCAGAACAAGTTCTGTGGCTGTAGCGAGGACTATAATGCGGAAGAAGAAAAGGGAACTATGTTTCAGTGTCTTGGACTGGGAACCGTTGAATCGGGCGGCTGTGGAGAAGACTGGTGGCATCCAGAGTGTCTCATCGGGCTGCCGCGGGATTGGTATAAGGACTTCAAGAAAAACGCGGGTGGGAATGGTCAGATTGAGGATGATGAAGAGACGCCACTTCCTCCGGGATTTCCTGGGGAAGACGATTTCGAGACTTTTCTCTGCTACAAGTGCATTGACTCAAATCCCTGGTTGAAACGATATGCGGGAACGGTGGGCTTCCTTCCCCCTGTGTACAAGGAAGGTGGATTGTCCAAGACTGCCGGGCCTACACCAGATACTACAACTACAGATGTCAGAGAAGAACAAACCACTAATCCTAAGAAACGGAAAATGGAGGATGAGGAAGAAGGCGAGCCGACTACGAAGCGGACCAAGGAAGATACTGAGAATACCCCCTTGGACTCGAAGCCAGAGCCCAACCCAACACCAAAGGAAGAGCTTACCCAACCCCCTTCACTGAAGAACAAGCATGACTCTCTCCCCGACCCTGCTCCTTCCGGTGCATTCTCCTTATTCTTGAAAGAAGACTTCCGCGACCACTTCTGCCGCTGTCGCGACTGTTACCCCAATCTCTCCCCGCACATCCAGTTGCGTGAAGAAGAAGAAACCTACGAGCCCCCGCTCTCTGAGAATGGGGAAGCCAATGGTGGTGGCAGCACTGGCACCGGTAGCCTCCTTGACCGCGGTGAAGCTGCATTGAGCAACATCGATCGTGTGCGAGCCATCGAAGGCGCAATGGTATACAATCATCTGCGTGACAAAGTTAAGGAGTTTCTAAAGCCATTTGCGGAGACGGGTAAGCCTGTGGGTGCGGAGGATATCAAAGCTTATTTTGAGAAACTTCGCGGCGATGAACAGCACATTCAAGATGCTGCTGGCCAGGCGTCTGCACTCTCAGGTAAGGACGATGATAATGATAACGATGAGGGGAACGGACGGAGAGAACAAAATGGTACGTATAGAAACAACCCTTCGTTTTCTGGAATGATCGCTAACTATGAATCAGGCTACTAAGCCGTTTCATTTGATGTAATTACTTCTGATCTGAATTTCTTCCAATTTCTTCTCACGTTGTTTGACATTTGGCACTGGGTTCTTGGCGGGTAGGTAACAGGGATATTGGGCGCGAATGTGGGAATGTATCTTGATTGTCTAGTTTACTACATCATAGGTGAATCTTCGGTATATCCATTTACAATGAAGATGACGCTGAACGGCTAACATTCTACTAAATGTTCTATATTTATCTTATATACTGTAGATATGCTAAATTTACCATGCCATCTCGGCAGCAAAACCAAACGAACGCCAATGCAAAATGCCACAAATGAAGTGTATGCAGATTCAAAAGCCCGCAATTACTCCCGCTCCAAAGTATAAATAGGTTCTCAACGTATCGACTATAATTAGGTTATTCTTTGAGCCGTTTCGAGGCGCGTCCCATTAAACTATCATCTGGTAGCCCGCTCCGCTTTGTACCAGGCAGGCTTCCAGACCGGATATCATTGTCATCCTGAGTGACACGACGGTGTGGATATTTCCCTTCAAAGCCCTCGAAGCAGTTGGCGGAGATAGGCCCTCCGTTCTTAAAGTATGGGTGCTCTAGTGCCTCCTGCGCAGTTATCCTCTTGGTAGGATCGTATTCGAGTAATCTCGACAACAGATCATAGCCATCTGCCCCAGGGGTCCCGGCACCGGACGAGGTGGCATACCCGCCATTTTTCAAACAGCTTTGATACCAGCCTTCCAGGTTCGAAGACCGGGGAAAATGTCCGGGAGCACGTGACATGGCTAGTGACTGGAGTTGGGAGTATTCGGGCATCGACACTATGCCCGGCCAAATGTCTTTGGTGGGGAGACCCATGATTTCGATGATTTTCATCATTTGATTACGTTGAAATGGCACCGTTTTCTTGCTGTCCATCTTGGCCTCCTCGCCTTTAAAAATGGGGCGGAGGGATAAAAGCTCTGCAAAAATGCATCCGACGGCCCAGAGATCGACAGCTGGGGTGTAATGACGACTACCCATCAGTAATTCTGGGGCACGATACCAAATCGTGACCACGACTTTATCGCCCGAGAAAAGAGAGTTGAGGGGTTTGTAGAAGAGACGAGCCAGACCCAAGTCTCCGATACGAATGGCGCCACTTGACGTAACCAGAATGTTGGCTGGCTTCAGATCTCGATGCAATACCCAATTAGTATGGAGATAGAGTAGACCGTTGAGAAGCTGAAACAGAATCGACCTGACCATTGGGGCTGGAATAGCATGTCTGTGTGGTTGCGTATGATGATGAATAATCTGCAGTAAATCATGTTCTGTATATTCGAAGACCATGAAAATGGCCTTGTCCTCAAGGATAATCTCTTCTAGCTGTACGACATTGGCATGATCCAGTTCGGAACACAGGGCCATCTCTCGAATGGCAGACTGTGAGAGGCCGGTGTATTGGATGATCTCTCCCTCTTTATCCGGTTTAAACCTGCGACTGGTCAGCGATCCGAGACTAACGGAAGAACGGATGGATCCTGCCAACTTTTTGATTGCAAATTCACCCTTCTGACCATTTTTGCCAAGGGCTTTGTAGACTCGTCCGTAAGTGCCGCTACTAATGAATCCCACGATGTGGTATTTGTCGCGGACGCGGACTTTGCTGGTATATCCAGTTCCAGACGGCTTCCTTGGATCTAGGTGCTCTTTAAACATCATAATAGCGTTAGCTTCCAATAGTCATTTTCCACAACATGTAGATCAACAGTCCAAATACTATAGCATAGTACCGATAATAATTTTCAGGGAACACAAGGAGTCATTAAGAGGGAAACGGTATTTGGAGTCTTTCAATCCAATGCCAGTCAGGGAAAGCCATTACCACGTGGATAAAACCCGCCGATAGAGTTGAAGAACGGGAAGTTCCTTCCAAACATGATGAAAGAAAAATGCAAAGAATATCTTGGTGGACAACTGATCGCCTTCTTTGTGAAGGTGTAATATAGAAGTGGTACTATAGGTGTTCATACGATTGCAGACAAGAATATCTTTCACTCAATCAGGGCACATCGTGACATGGCAACCCTAAAAAATAAAAGAAAATCGATTGAACAAAGAGAATGAAAAGGTAACAGGTTATGAAAAAACGAGAATTATAATAGAAGATAATAATAACTGGTATTACCATCAACAGCGGCCTGCAGGTTCTTTTTCAGAGACAGACTCTGGCTGACGGTGGCCGCAGTGGGCCTGGACGAAGCAGCAGTTAACGGGCCGGAGGATGAGGGTGGGTTTGTCAGACTCATGGAGAGAGAGGCAAGAGGCGAATGTGGAGATGGCCGAGGGTTAGCTTCAATAAATCAGGAGACAGACCCATGGAACCCAGTGGGTGGTGTGGTGCGAACAGTGCACGAAGATAAAAGGGAGGTACGGGGGGTCAGCTCCACCGCTAGACCATGAGACCTGCAGGATGCAGTAATAATGGTGATAGGGAGAAAATGGTATGGGGATCTGAGAAGCTGAAAACACGATCGCTGATTTGTATTTGTTTGCATCTGGATTTATGCCCTGGATTGTTAGTCAGCAATCCTAGTGAATTGACCAATGAGTTGGTTCTTCCACCCCCATAACCCTAGGTGCTCAGTAGTCAAATCCATCTAACTGTATCCCTATCCAAGGATAATTCAAGTGACATTGCATGATAAGAGCATTTTTTCTTGGTTTTATGTACAACCAATCTTATTGGCTATTCACTCATATAATGATTCAACCACGCAAGGTACCCGCAACTTACAGCTTGACATCTTCACTCTTTACAGCAGCTCTACTGCCCGAGCAAGGAACTTCAACCCTGTAAGACGTACTTAACAAAGGTCACGTCATCTTCTTCCAAGGTCAAGTCAAACACATGCTCCTCACCATCTGCCAGCAACAGATCTGTAACGACCCCCAACCCCTTCAATTCTTCATGAGCCCGTTCACTATAACGATGGTGGGTCATTTTAACTGCTGTACCATAAATATGGTTCGTGGAAACGAGGTCGAAAGCCGAGCCGTACCGTCAATACAACTCTTATCTTCATTCTTGACTATCTCATCTAACAAGGTTCCCTGTTTCATATAAGTAGCGAACCATGCATCCCTCGGAGGAAGAGTATCGCTCCCCAAGAAACGCGCCGATGCGGAAACTTGGTACCCCTCGTAGATCTTGTCGGTGTACTTTTGTGGCCAGGAGGATGATTTTTCAAACTCGGGAATAGGTAGTCGCCACATTGGATTGGAAAAGTATTTGAGGCCATAGAAGTCAAGAATCGCTGTGACTGGGACTTCCGGTGTACATCCCTATTCCTCGGTTAGACAGTAGTGACCTGCTTCTGTAAGTCTCATAGATCGGATGCACCATCAGTAAAGCCAATGTACCACCTGCAGAATGTCCCATGGTAACAATTTGAGTCGGATCTACTTCCATAGACTCATTTTGCAACAATCCAGGGAATTCGTTGGCTGCCCACACCAAACAGTCCCGAGAATCCGTGATCGGTCCATTGTAAACAGGTATTTGTGGACATAGTCTGTAGTTTGGCGTTAATACCACGAACCCTAATTTTGTCAGAGTAGAGATCTCGGATTTTGGAACGACCTCTTTGGACCATTTAACAAAACCACCGGCATGGAAGATAATTGCTGTATGGCCAAGTCAATAACGAGTACCCTAATTCCCACAGTGAGGTTTACCAACCAATGGGACCTGCTACGTTTGAAGGATAATTCTGACCAGTACACGTCAACAAGAATATTCTCGTCTTCATTTCCTTTCTTATAGATATATTCGCGAGCTTTCATGATGTCAGTCGATATGATAGAATGATAAATGATAACGTTGATGACTGAAACAGATAAAAGAAAGTATAGCCTTATTTATATTGCTTTTAGGATTCTTGAAAGGAGTATTTCAAATGATTTTGTCTGGTGATATCTTCTTTAGTCCCATAGAGGTAAAGGAGGGATCGTATTTCGGCCATGTCACTTGTAGTCTCGTATAACATTCTCAGATCTACTACCCTCGAGTGCAGATTCCTATTGGCATATTGCCAAGTTTATTAGTCGAGACGCATTTGTATAACATCTCCCTTGCGGGATTTGGTAATGAATTCGGAGTAGGTGTTCTGGACACTTCCAAGGATAGCTGAAACATAGTGTGGACCATTAAAACAGCTCCCTAAAATGATCCAGATTAGTATATATACCAGCCTGGACTGTTTTCCAAAATACTATATAAAACCAAAGCCTTCGTTGGAGTGTTACTCTGTAATTATCTAGTAGATGTATGTCTGGACGTAATGGGCTGATCCTTCAGTTCAAGAAGTCCACTTCAATGAGGTACAAGTGCGTATCAATAGAATCCTTAGGTATATGCATCTGGAGAGTTATACAGAAACAACAAGAATGGCAAGGAACAGACTCATATTTGACATGAAGCATGGAGAATCAACAGATCAAAAGGATCACGTTCTGTTTTTACTTTCCGCGACGGAGTTTCCTTATCCCGATAAGTCCGATAAGGATCCAGATAACGTCATTCCATCCCATGAGATAAAGGGGACTCCACCTCAACAACTAATCATCAAATCTCCAATCAATATCAATGAACCCGAACCAATTTTGAAAGCTCTCGAAAAAGTAGAGGGAGCTCTATTAGCATATGCACCATGGTCCTCGGTGGACCAAGCGGGTCGAAGGTCACTCCGTACCTGATCTACCTTGTTTTTATCACCACGTTGGGGCCACTTCAGTTCGGATATCATTTGGTATTACACACAGTTTGATGCATACTGGAGGCTCCAATACATTGGCTGACAATATATTATGATAGGCTGAGCTCAATGCCCCCCAGGCCGTGATCACCTGCGAGCGAAAAAGCATTCATTCGACAGCAACACCGGGCCTTCCGCAATGCATACCTATGAACTCATCCCAATTCGGCCTGGTATCCTCTATATATACACTTGGTGGCTTGCTAGGAGCTCTCCTGTCGGGTCCAGTTGCCACCAAACATGGCCGCTTGTTCACACTGCGAGCGACCACCATCTTCTTCATCCTAGGCCCTATAGCGGAAACATTTGCGTCCAATATACCCATGTTGAGTCTAGGTAGGCTTTTATCTGGTATTGGCGCAGGCGCTTCCATCGTCGTGGGTCCAATATATATCTCGGAGATTGCTCCTCCCAGTGCTAAGGGGCTTTTCGGCGCTTTTACACAAATCATGACTAACGTCGGTATTCTGCTGACACAGTCACTTGGTTACTTCTTGAGTAAAGGAAGTATGTGGAGAATTATACTTGCAATTGCTGGCGCCATCGGATGTCTGGAGCTTTTCGGCCTCTTCTTAGTCCCGGAAAGCCCCATCTGGCTCGCAGATCATCAGAAAGGGAATGTGGCCAGACAGGTGCTACAACGTATACGGGGAAAGGATGCAGACATCGAGCCAGAGGTTGAAGGCTGGAGAACATTTGCAACGCCTGAGCACAGCTCTGGGGAAGAGCAGTCCCTACTATCACCACCGTCTGGAAACATGCCACCCAAACAACCTCCGGTTACCATGTTGCGGGCTATTACTGATTCTTTTTACCACCCTGCCATCATTGCAGTGGTTGGAGTCATGGTTTCCCAGCAGTTCACTGGTATCAACAGTATCATCATGTACAGTGTCTCCCTTTTGCAGACCATCCTTCCCACCACCGCAGCCCTGTTGAGTGTGATCATCTCGGCTATCAATCTTGTAATCACCCTGGCCTGCTCCCCACTGCCTGATAAGATCGGTAGACGCTCCTGCCTACTCCTAAGTATCAGCGGTATGGGTCTTAATTCCGTCCTGTTGGCGCTAGGCATCTACTTCAACCAGAAAGCTTTATCCGCCATAGCTGTTCTACTCTTTGTTGCTTGTTTCGCCGTCGGTCTAGGCCCAGTCCCTTTCATTCTAGCCTCTGAGCTCGTTGGCCCGGAGGCGGTTGGCGCCGCACAGAGCTGGGCGCTGGGAGCGAACTGGATTGCCACGTTCATCGTGGCACAGTTTTTCCCGATGCTGAACGAGTTGTTGGGTGGACGAGGCAGGATCTACTGGATCTTTGCAGCGATGGCCTGTCTCCTTGGAAGCTTTATCTACTGGTGGGTACCGGAGACTAAGGGGAAGGCTAACGCGGCCGAAGTTTGGGGAAGGACAGACCAGCGGAGACAGGATTAAATTCATCTCTGATTGTTTTTCTCCGGGCCCTACTCTGCCGCCAGCATTCGGACTCCCCGTCAGTAGTCAATTCTGTACCTCCACAGAGGGGCCTATCATGTGACAATATTGAAGACAATAGAATAGCAATAATTGGTGCTTTCTACCTAGGAGTCAGTCGGTGAGAGCGAAAGCGTCATACTTGCCTCGGCTTGTTCAACCTAGTCGGTCGGGCAGGTTTAGGTCGACACTGAGTGAAAGCAATACCAATGGTCGATCTTTATCTTCAAACTGTATTGCGGAGGTGAGACCAAAGAAGTTCTAATACCTCTGCATAATGTACAAGTCGCTGACAATGTCCTTTATCACTACCTATTGAAGGCTTCTTTTGATGTCTTGATCGTCACAAGCGGGTTGATCATCTCCGATCGACGTCACTTCACACCGCACACTGCATGACAAGTGCGGGGCAGAGGGAACAGCTGGCCCAAAAAATTAGTGATTTGAAGCAATGCTGTTACATCCTTATACCCCTCAATCCATGATAAGGGAAGGAAAGAGGCTGAGAGAGGGTCACTGCCACGCTAGACTGGATTAGTCCGTATATGCAGGTTTCAATGCACGCACAGGGGGCTTCGTGCTTCTTGGCTATGCACTACGAATTACTAGTAGGGTGTATTAATCCACGTAGATAAATTGGCCTGCCCGGTGTAGATATGAGGAAAGTAATGAGAGTTGCACTTTCGGAAATAATAGTTGTTGTAGAAAGAATGACAGACAAGGAGTTTTAACGGTACTACTGTAGTAAGGGGGGCGACGTTTGAGATATTTTAAGTACAAGTTTTGCAACAGTGAGACATTTATGTAGGGTAAATCCAAGAGGAGCCTAGGAAAAAGTAAAGCCACACCAAAGAGTACTCGGAATACGTGAGGGGGGAGTGAATCTACCGCGGTATTTGTTGAGAATCTAACCCAAAGTATAATTGACCAACCCGACTGACGGGAAAATAGGTCCAGGAAGGCAAGGGGTGCTTCAGCTGTGGACCTTGGGATAGATTTGTTTTTATTGTGATACTTACTGTTTCTCCATTGGACACTCCGTATCGTGGGCCATATTCTTTTAGAAGAAACCCCAGGCAGAATACAAATTCCCTCAGCTTTACCTGTCAGAGATGGATGTATGGAGTATACCTCATACATCGTGCCTGGCGCCAGGTTAGCAGTACCGGATGCAGTAAGGGTACGGTACCACCTTAGCCACATTAGGCAGCCACATTTATTTGTACTCCGTAGTACATCAAGTCATTCAATTCAAGAGGGTGGAGACAACAAGAGGGAGTGGATCTTAGTTGAGAACCAGTAAGTGACGTTGTTGGGGTTGGCCAGTGCCAAGTCTGCTAACCGAAGGTTCCGTAGGAATCCATTTGATTGATTACTGCTTGGATTCATTTAGAAGCTTTGTGGTTTGGTTGGAGACTTACAGACCCCCAGAATTATGCAGTGATGATGACTTGCTTTCGCGGTTATTTACTAGTAGTAGACATGTACACCATATAAATGTTGGACAAGATTCCTGAATAAAACAACCTTGCAGCAACTCAAAAAAGAAAGAAACGAAATTAATCTAGGTCGCAGACCCAGTAATTTAAATCCCTCCCCTCAAAAAACCCAAACGCGAAAACTCCTGGTCTATCGGCATTGTCACAGACCTCATAGTGAGCTGTGGACAACTGACTGCCATTTAGCTCGCCCACTTCTCTCGCCCATCTGCCCACTCCCTCGCTCTTTTTCCCCCATCACACAGTCTCGAAACAAGCAATTGTTCTTTGTGTCTTTTGATTCCCCGGTTCTCAAACTGTGGTCCTCCCGTCTTGGTCTTATTGATTGTTTTCTTGGTTCGTCCCGAGTAGATCGATCGGCCCAGAACTTGACATTTCCCGCGACCTCTCCGGACTTGGAGCGACTTCTGCCTACTAATCAACCATATACAACTCATACCCTTTTAAATATCCTCAATTATATTACTTGATTGATTGACTTCGTATATCCTGGCCTTGTTCCATTCCAACCCGTCAGCTTCTGCTGTTGACGCGACGTGTCCCGTCTCCATCTCCGTCTCACTACACCCCCCACTCGACGGCCATCATGGTGCGGTTACCGTTGCCACAACGGCTCAGTACTCATTTAACTTCACGGAGTAATACTCCTACTCCCGGACAAAGCAGAAGTACCAGTCCCATGAGGGTACCAGACGCCAAGCCGCTGGTCCTAAAGGTGGTTGTCTTACGGGTGAGTGCGACCTCCCCCTGTATATCGGGCAGGTTATACCGTCTCGGTACATTCCGGACTGCGAGGACTAACATGCTGATCGTTCAATAAATAGGGGAGGTGTCTTGCTGCCAAAGATCGAAATGGAACGAGCGACCCAGTAAGTGGCTCCTTGACACCTCGACTGTTTAAAATCCTTAGAACCGGGACTGACCACATGGCTCGATTACTAGTACCTAGTTGTCACACTCGGAGATGCACGACAATCGACACCTACGATTCCGAAGACCCTGAACCCTGAATGGAACGTGACTTTTGAAATGCCAATCGTCGGTGTGCCATTGCTCGAGTGTATCTGTTGGGATCACGATCGGTTCGGGAAGGATTATATGGGCGAGTTTGACATTCCTCTGGAAGAAATATTCGCCGAAGGCCAGATACATCAGCAGGTGAGTGTTGGTTATGCGACCGGAGACGAGGGACGTCCAGGCTGATGAAGCGCATAAGTCCAAATGGTATACCCTTACATCGAAGCGGAAATCGGGAAAGAAGAAGGACAGCAACATTTCAGGAGAGATTCTACTTCAATTCTCACTCGTCGATACTGCAAATCCAACAGCCCCTCCGAGCGAGACATATCAGAAGTTCAAGACACTGATCGGCTGTGGGGAGGAAGACGATGATTATCCGCAAATTCCTGCGACCATATCAGATGAAGCCGAAAGATCCGAAGACATATCCGATGAGGCCGATGACTTGGGAAGACCCGAAGTTAACGAGAAGCGCCGGAGAAGGCTACGTCTCGCGCGACTCAGGCGGAAGTCGCTGGCAGCGAGGGCGTATCAGTTCTCTGGTGCCGGCAATGGCGTACAGGGTATCGTGTTCATGGAGATTGTCAAGGTGACCGATCTCCCACCGGAACGCAATGGTATGATACCATCAATCTGTAGACAATGTGTCCTAGCTGACTTATCCTACAGTGACACGAACTTCCTTTGATATGGACCCGTTTGTTGTGACTTCGCTGGGAAGAAAGACGCTTCGGACTCCGGTCGTGCGCCACAATCTCAACCCAATATACCACGAAAAAATGGTCTTCCAAGTTATGAAGCATGAACAGTCTTATACCATTAGTTTTACAGTCATGGACCGAGACAAGTTCTCTGGGAACGACTTCGTTGCCTCGGCTAGTTTTCCCCTTCAAACATTGATTCACGCTGCTCCCGAATCAGACCCGGAGACTGGACTCTATAAGTTCCTGGACACCGCGCTTGATCCTACAGGGTCCACCGAGTCTCTCTCCAATAACAAAGCTGGAATCAAGATCGGGATTAGCCCATCCCCATCGACTAGCAGCCTATCAAAACTGTCAAGGCCAGGCCTGGTCAGGTCAAGAAGCTCTACAGCTTCCTTGTCGAACCAAGCCACGCAGGAGCAGTCGACACTACCACCACCATCAGCCCCGAAATCTATCCCGACATCAGTTCCATCATCACTCCCAGAGGAGGGTAGTAGTAGCTACTTGTCAACAACGCCAACATCAGTCCAGAACGAGGGCAGCGTGATTGCCCCTCTTGAAGCAGAGGGCCTGGAGACATATCGGATTCCGCTGCTGATGAAGCATAAAGAAAGATGGGAGGACAAGCACTCTCCGGAGCTATTCATCAAGGCTAAATACATGCCCTACCGGGCACTGCGGCAGCAATTTTGGAGACTAATGCTCAAACAATATGACGCTGATGACAGCGGCCGCATTGACAAAGTCGAGCTAACTACAATGCTCGATACCCTTGGTTCCACACTGAAGGAATCAACTATTGACAGCTTCTTCGAGCGATTTAGTGCGGAAAATGAGGCTAGTGAGACAATGGATTTGACTTTTGACCAAGCTGTAATCTGCTTAGAAGATACCCTGCAGGCACTGCAGAAAGATTCCAGGACAACTGGCAGGGGGCTCACTCCAACGCCATCCACAGGCAGTCAAGACAGCGAGGAGCCATCCAGCGACGACAATGATCTTTCCCTCGAATCAAGCACAGGCATGCCGGTCAATGCTGACCCTCAGAGAACAGCCATTCCCACACTACCCACTGAAGAGCAGTTAATGACGAACGAGGAAGACCTTCAGCCCGATGACTTGGGCGATGAACGTGGTGAAGAGCATGTCATTGAACTCCGTGAATGTCCCCTTTGTCATCAACCACGGCTCTCAAAACGCTCAGATGCCGATATCATCACACACATCGCTACCTGTGCTAGTCGAGACTGGAGACAAGTCGACAACCTCGTGATGGGTGGCTTCGTGACCTCAAGTCAAGCGCAGCGCAAATGGTATTCTAAGGTGATTACAAAGATCTCGTATGGAGGCTACAAGCTGGGTGCCAATTCCGCGAATATTCTTGTTCAAGATCGAATTACGGGACAAATCAATGAGGAGCGGATGAGCGTCTATGTTCGTCTTGGTATCCGGCTGCTGTATAAGGGGCTGAAGAGTCGAGAGATGGAAAAAAGAGAAGTATGCTCACTCCAATTAACTATCCGGAAGTCCCGGATGAAGCTGACCATTCCTGCAGTTCGCAAAATCCTCAAGTCGCTTAGTATCAAACAAGGCAAGAAATATGATGACCCCGCTTCCGCAAGTCAAATTGAAGACTTCATCAGCTTCCACCAACTCGACTTGTCCGAGGTTCTTCTTCCTCTAGAGAAGTTTAAGACTTTCAATGAATTCTTCTATCGCGAACTGAAGCCAGGCGCTCGACCTTGCTCGGCTCCGGACGAGCCCCGAATTGTTGTGTCCCCAGCTGATTGCCGATCAGTTGTTTTCGACCGTCTTGACGAAGCAACTAGTGTTTGGGTCAAAGGAAGGGAGTTCAGCATTGAGAGACTCCTCGGTGATGCTTACCCAGAGGACGCCCACCGCTACAAGAACGGGGGTTTAGGAGTGTTCCGTCTTGCACCCCAAGATTATCACCGTTTCCATATTCCCGTGGATGGCGTCATGGGAACGCCCAAAACCATTGAAGGTGAATATTACACGGTGAACCCGATGGCCATCCGCTCCGCACTAGATGTCTACGGAGAGAATGTTAGAGTCCTTGTCCCCATCGATTCGGTTGCGCATGGTCGTGTCATGGTAGTCTGTGTTGGAGCCATGATGGTCGGAAGTACAGTCATCACACGTCAGGCTGGAGAGAAAGTCGCTCGAGGCGAAGAGCTGGGATACTTCAAGTTCGGTGGAAGTACCCTCCTGCTTCTCTTCGAAGAAGGAGTGGTAAATTTTGACAGCGACCTGGTGGATAATTCGAAGGGCCCTCTCGAGACCCTGGTAAGAGTTCCTTCATTTACCCCTTGCTGGTGGTGGACTGTTTTTACTAACATAAGCCGCCTCCGTCTTAGATTCGTGTGGGCATGTCTGTGGGCCACCGTCCTGATATTCCTCAATTCGAACCTGACCTGCCGAAGAAGGCAGAAAACGTCACTGTAGAGGAGATGCAGGCTGCCAAGCGCCGAATCGAAGGAAGCTTGGCTCCACCAACCGATGCGTCTGAGTTTGCATGAGACTTGTTCATTAAGTGAGAAGCGTTCATTCCAAGGCGTTCCGGTGTGATTTCAGGGGTCTGGTGCCATTCGTTCTGAGCAACTATCTAGCACAGTTGTCTGCATTGCCACTACTAACTAGCATTGATGGATTATGAGGGTCGACTATCGATGGGTGTGTAAATGTTAGATATTTTTGAACATATAAATTCCCATGCCATATTAGTAAATTATTTCAGGTCTATGTACCATCTATTTGATATTTCTCAGAAGATTATTTCAATATCAGACACTGTTAGATATATTACGTAGTACTAGCCAAAGTAATAGACTGAACGATGCCAATCCCAAAACGGCTTAGTGTGAGTCCCCCACGCGCCACGACCAAAACAACCGCGTGCTGCGGCGGCGGACTTGAAAGAGCCAAACCCCCCAGAGCTTAAGCACCGCCGCACAAGGAGCGCTTTGCGAAACTCGCCAATCCAAGAAGTCGGCAATTCTCATTTTAAATGTCTCGAGCGGTCGCTGTCAATTGCGGCTTGAAGTTAACGGTGTACTGGAAGGGCGCCTCCGATGTCAATCGACACACGTCCCTCAACAGCCCCCGTTCCTATTGAAAGATACTGCCGGGTCAGGTTCCTGCGACCGCGCAACCATTCTATCCCAGATCACCTATAAGAAATATATGAGGAAACAACACAGCTTTAGCGATTGCTTAGATTCAATTCTCTATTGAGTGGTAAAAGGGCTCCAAGCGAAGCGATATCCAATACCGGCAACCAAATTATCTACGGGAGGATAAACCTACACCAAATTCCAACACTACAGTTATTTCTCTTCCTTCGAAACAAACAAGGTCGCGCTATATTCATCCAACTCTCATTATCTTTATTGTGCATCTACGTCGCTACTCGCTTCCCCACCTTTCCGAGGTCCTGACATGACCGCCACGGTTTTGGAAACTCCTAGGATTAAGACGAAGTGTCGCGTACCTCTGAAGTCTATTGATATGGCAACGTCCCAGGCGCAGGCGCGTCCTGCGTCTTCTGCCGCGCCTGGCAGAAAGGGGACAAGGTCGAGTGCGCGATTGAGTTTGAGCAGTGTGGAGAAGAGCGAGGAGAAAACGGCATCTACCAAGAGAAAACGTGAGTGTTCTTATTCGCCTTGAAGAGTTGTGCTACGGATGATTTGTGGGGATATGCGCTTGTGTGTGATGAACTGTCTGTGTGCTAATGTTATTTTATCGCTATAGAAGAGGTTTTCGATGAAGAAGATGAGGGGTTCCAGTTTACTCGCATTAAGACTAAAAAATCAAAACCGACGGTGGATTCTATCCCGGAGATTCCTCAACCAGAGATACCCGCTCCTAAACCGTCACCGAGGAGGGGCCGACCTCCCAAGAAACGTCCGGTTGAGAAGTCAGAGAGTACGATAGTGTCGAAGAAGTCATCGGAGAGTTCGACCAGGCAAACGAGGGCGACTACGAAACCTACTTTATCTGAGCCAGAAGCACAACCGGCGAGCGCCACGCGCACAACGCGCACAACGCGCAGGCAGGACAATGGTGAAACGGCACCGGTGGAAAAGAAGAGGAAGAAAGGCAGGCCGAGTAAATCTCATGATGGCGAACGGAACGGTTTTGTTTCACCCGAACCGCAACATGCTGGGACATCGAAGATCACCTTACCTATGGCGGACACACCGGTCATACAGCGGAACAAGGAATTGAGGGGTGCGGCGAAGTCAGGGAAAGGAAACAGACGGAGTAGCTTGGGGATGCGGGGACGAAGGGCCAGCTCGCTAATTGACTCCGGGGCGTCTAATGGTGGGTAACCTGTTCCGCGAGAGCTCAAGATGGCACTGACGGCTTTAACAGCGTTGCCTCATGACCAAGTTGACACTGCAGAATTCTACAAACACATTGCGGCTGACTTGCCGGAACCACGGAGGATGCGGCAGCTCTTGATTTGGTGCGCGACTCGAGCAATGAGTGATAAACGAGGGCGCTCGGAGGATGCGAGCGCTCGCCTAGCGGGTGCGTCATGCCGACCTGGAAGTTTAGTCTCAGACTAACGATACTTTAGCGCGTGTAATCCAGGAGGAGCTACTCAAAGATTTCTCTACTAATTCCCAGCTTTCGAACTGGTTCGAGCGAGAGGACGTGAATCCGCCGGCCGTCATTGTTAAGAAGCCAAATCCGAAGAATATTCAAAACGCAGATAAGATCAAGGAGTTGGAGGAGCAAATACAAAGGTACATAATCCTGAAGCATAGCTTCTCGGGACATACTGACAATGCAAAGGCTACAACGAGAGAGGCACGCTCTCAACGCACTTCTTCGACCACCTTCTATTCCACAGATCAAACCATCGAAACAGCAGGAGACGGCACCGGATGGCCAACAAGAACCCCGGCAATCCGACGCTGAACCCAAACCTCGGTCAGAACCCGAACCGATTGACTTATCTTTATTAGACCCTTCACAGCAGAATATCTACGAATCGATAGATCCCGACTCCGCAAAGTGGAAACCTCATTCTGAGACTCAGGCGGCGTCATCATCAGAACTTAGCTTACCACCAGTAACACCATCGGCTATATCCACGAGGCTTTCCCGGATAACCCATACTCTAGCGCCGACCCTCGATTCATTGGCGGCCGGCATTCACGATATCGAACTTTACCGAACCATGTCAGACACCGTATCGTCGCGAGTACTGCGCATCTGCGCCGAGCGACTGGATGAACGGGATGCAGGAAACGCCATGCGTCGACTTGCAGCAGAGGAGGGCGAGGGCGAGGGCGAGAGCAAGAACCTCACCCTGCGGCCACGGCCGAGAGAAGACCTTGGTCTGATTCTTGGGGCATTAAGTCGGATAGAGAGGTGATGGGGACATATCGATGTTCAATGGGGTCGAATGAACGTCTCCCTTCTTTGTTATCTATTTCATTTGTATCCGGCCGGATTACAGTGGCCGGAGTTGTTGGGTTCATTCATTGGCGGCATACAAGCAATGGAGTTGGGGTGTTCTGGGCGATGCTTGACGTGGATATGGTGGCTATGGCTATGATCGGACAGCAATTCACTTTGACACTTTACAAGGGACTAGAATACATTTTCCTTTGAGGATTCCTTATCTAGTCAGGATGCCACTGTAAACATACCTACATATGACAAACATCAAAAACGTTCTAGATTGATGCTACGGCAGCAGATTGTTTGATACACGGTATACTTCGTCCGGGTGTATCTCAGTCTCCACTTCTGTGCTTTTTGCTCGGTTGATATCTTCCTTCGTTCCTTATCTATGTTCGTGGTGAACCTCCCTGGGTCACCCGTACTCTTGCAAGAGGCTTATAGCAGCTGAAGGGCTAGTAGACACTGAATTTTGATGTGCTTGGACTAATGTCTGTGTCGAGTCATTTTCTCTGTTGCGATTATTTAGGGGTGCCAGGCCAAATCTTAGTCTTTAATTGATATATATAGTTGTTATCTCAGTAAGCCCAGCTGCTGCACCAAACCGTCTGACTACTCAGCCACTGTTATAAATTTTGTAAAAATGCCTGATTAATTTGACACAACTCAATTAATATTAATCTGTCTTAAAAAATGATTATATATTCAATATAGTATTTAAGAAAAAATAGGACAAATCGCACTTACGAGGAGGAGGACGCCGTTTTCGGTAACCCCCCATGTTGGGTTTAGTGTCATCTCGACCGTTTAGCTTCCCCAGCTATCCCGCAATGGGACATGGCGCCTGTCTCCCGTTCGAGGTCCGCCTTCACAGGTCCTGGTCGAGTATATAATCCTCTGGTAGGTCGTTCGACGACATCTCCTTCCTCATCAATCTGGTCCCCCTGAGGTCGGATGCCACCGCTCCGGCCTCTGCACTCTCAAAATTGACAGTTCCCAGAATCTGAGGCATCTGGTGCAATTGATATGCCTAATGATGAATGTTTCCATGCCTATGGTTTCAGTTAGCGCCAGGTTCTTTCCTTTTTGGCACTTTGTGGTTTTGGACTGGGCATCCACCAGTGATAATTGGCCCTTGCAATAGCTGCGCCTTTACTGTTGAAACTCCGGGATCTTTAGTTTCGCACGTCAATGTACTGTAAGCGCCAGCAGCATAGTTGGGTCTCCACAATTCACCTGAACGCTTACTTTTGCCATTCGACTTGGGATGGAGGTACAGGGCGCTTTGGTTGAATTTGAAGCTGATATACATTTGAATGCGCGCTATAGTACGAAACACCGCTAGAACTACGCATCAAATGAAGTCACTCCGCATCTTAGCCAATCAGCGTGATTGTATCTGCCAGGAAGATCTCCTAGTAGTATATAAAGAAACAGCCTTGGCATCCCTGGCCGCTCACCTCTGGAAATGGACGCAGTTTTAGCCTAACCACTACTCTGCAAGGTACCCAAATCTTGTGAACACTCAGCTTATATTGAGGACTAGTTTATCTCAAAAGATGGGGCCCAGTACGTCCTATCTTTAACTATTGAATATCAAGCTGGCGACTAACCTTCCGCAGCACCTCCTCGTGATTGCAGACCTATCGTCATTTCTGGACCGTCGGGCGTTGGCAAAGGAACACTTGTCCAGAAGCTTTTTGACGAACATCCCAACACGTTCGCTTTCGCCGTGTCTCACACAACACGTAAACCCCGAACTGGTGAAGTCGAAGGAAGAAATTACTTCTTCGTCACTCCCTCTACATTTGGCAACCTCATCTCCCAAGAGGCCTTTGTTGAACATGCAATGTTCGGTGGGAATCAGTATGGCACGAGCAAAAGAACAATTGCGGACCAAATGGCCAAGGGGCTAGTTGTTGTGCTAGATATTGAAATACACGGTGTCAAACAGATGAAGGCTAACTCGAGCATTGACGCACGCTATGTCTTTATAAAACCACCAAGCTTCGAGACTCTTGAGAGGCGTCTGCGAGGACGTGGCACTGAGAAGGATGAGGACATTCAAAAAAGACTAGCGCAAGCGAAGGCTGAAGTTGAGTATGCGGATACTAAAGGTGTTTATGACAAGATCATTATCAATGATGATCTTGAGAAGGCATTTAAAGAGCTCGAGGAGTTCGTTTATGGCTGAGTTTTTCAGACCATCAATGTTCATCAATTTTTTGTTGATATACGAAAATCCGAATGAATCATGCAACGTGCACGTTGATCAACTCGCTGGGAAGGCATACACTCTCTCGCAAAAGAGGACATTAACTAATGCAACAGTGTATATCTGACCGCTGAGTCTCTGCAATCATTCATGCCTCATAATTCGTGTGCACAGTACCATTACTGGGACATGGAATGCAATTTATGAGGCCAAATGTGACTTGGCGGACTCCTGCCTCTGTATATCCTGTGTCTTATAGCGTTCCGACACATGACAGAGATCACTGGCCCGCAAACACTGGATAAAATTCTTAAATGCCTACCCGAAACTATTGCGACCAATACTCTACTCCTTCGCCTATATCCATGAATACAGTTATGAGCGCAAAAACCCCAGCAAGTCCCTAGCATTCCGATAATTAATAAATTCTAAGAGTCTGGCTTAGTAAACGTACTCTATATTGCAAATTAAGGGTGAGCTCAGTATCCAAGGCGAGATGGCCGAGCGGTCTAAGGCGGTTAGTACCACTAAGAAATACCATCATCTCAAACAAATAACTAATAATCTCTCAGCTGGAGTAAGGTTCCAGTCTCGAAAGGGGCGTGGGTTCAAATCCCACTCTCGTCAACATCCTTTTTTTACTTCTTGAAGTTTTGCTCGTCACACTGAAGTGGTGGGTACCCGGATAGTTGTGGGGAACGAGCAGAAGATCGATGTCGCATAAGAATTCGGGTATTAATTAAGGTCTCAATCAGCACAACAATTACATTTTACCCAGTACCTTTGCGTAACCAACTCATGTAAAGTCCCTGCACTTCCATCCCTTAACCAGGAAGTTCCCTCGCCGTATCCCCATATAACTCCTGGGGTCGCGCGGTAGAGGGCATCTCTTTCGTATCACCGACCTGTACAGGATACCCGGCGACTGGAGGAGCATCCGCCTCTTCCTTCCTCCTTCGCCGGAGCAAGAACCAACCCAGTAACGCTATGAGCATAACACCGGCTGCAGACCCAACCCCAATGCCCGCGGCTGCACCTGCGCTTATGCTACTCGAAGAGCTGGGCTCAGAGGTATCGGAGGGTGACGGTGTTGCACTCGAGTCCGCTGGGTCTGTCGCGGTCTATCGCGTTCGTATACACATGTTAGCTAACAAGACCTCAACGCAGGGATTGGAATCCCACTGCATACCGGACTGGTATGGCTGATGCCCATCGCAAAGAGATGGAGATTGGTTCCCTGATTAACATCCTTAAAGTCGATTGTATTCGCAGCGAAATCGGTCACGGTGACCCTTCGTTTCGTGGAATAATCATACTGTGACATACAAGGAAACCAGGGACCGTGGGGATTCTTGCTCGCGTTATCAACGCAACTAAACGAATAGACTCTAAAGCAGGAGCCATCAGCTGATGTACTTTGCGTACGGATCGAACCCTATGGCATAGATTAACCGTACGTGGGGCAGCAAACTGTCGTTGTTGGTGTAGCCGACGACCCAGTCGACAGACAAGCAGACGTGTAGCCCGTCGGGCATTGTGTTCCGGCGTACGCACGCGAGGGATCCCAGGTCGATGGGAGGCAGTTGGTGGTCTGAGATGGGCCTCCTAGTACCGTGCGTTGATCGTTTTGTGCGTGGTAATCCCAGATCCAGAAGTCACCTTTCCTGTTACAGCCGTATACTGATGGTGTCCAGTCGGGGTCGAGGGTGGGGCTGGGCGTTATTGTTGACATGGTAAAACAGCTCTGACGGGCGAGGATATGTCTGTCAAGGGGGAGAATTGGTGATTGCAGAAGAAGCCAGCCTTATGTGGTGTAATTCCTATCCCTAGCTCGTATCTACCGTTCTTGGCTGCATGCTGTCACGGGGGCTGGGATGACCATGTTTCTCCGGTCAATTGCCCAGCTGTTTTGCCAGTGAGGTTGTGAATCTCGGAAAAACCAGGCTTTGCCAGGTACACTCAACAGTCTTTAGAATAATATAGTCAGCGTGGCCGAGTAATTAGGGCCAGACTCGAAGAAATCCGAAATATGTGATACATTCCGTGCGAGTAGTTGATGAGGAGGTGCCGAGCCGCTAGCATGCATACTATATGACAGCCAGTCATGTTAAAGGCGCCGCCCATGCCAAGGAACGCCGGACGGCTGCCCGGGATGTGCTGCTCCGAGGGGTTCGTCCCCCCAGCTTACAATGAGTTCTTGGTGAAGCCTTTAGGTTATGAATACAACAATCCCCCCTACCTGGGCCTATCAAAATTTTGGGACCCCACTTTTAACAAGCGATCGCCATGTGTACTTACTTGTTCCGTTTCTCCAGCGTAGTCTCACTCTCTGAGCGCAAGCTCTCTGACCACCTCCGCCATTGTACTCGCGTGTTTAACCCCAAGATCATCGCCTATGACATCCAGCTGGCCTGCAATCCACATTCGCTGAGCGGCATCTACCCCCTCCACAATGCCTGCTACGTATAATGGCCATGCGACTTGAGATGCCGACACTAACCTTGCGTACTTTCCCTGAGGATACGCCTCGATCGGGTACTGTCGTGCAGCAGACCCCATGCATCTATAACCCAAATGGTACAGCATGGACGCGCATATATCATTGGCAAGGTTGCGGATCTTCACACGTGCCGTAGACACATCGCTATAGAGACTGCTCCGAGGAATTGATGCCGTATTGGTGGCGGCGAGGAGATGATAGAAGCGGAGACATAGGTGACATGCACATATTTGCAATGTGCGATAGCGCGCCCAGTCATTCGCGACCCAGAACGATGAGTAGATGTGTGCTACTGGTGTCCATAGATTCCAATCCTCGGAAGGGACTATCATGGTTGTATATATCCAATCTTTGGGGACGGAGCTCAGCCATTGTGAAAGTTGGTGGGTGATGGTGTTCATCGAATCGAGTATACCAGTGATAGTAGTTGAGGAGATACGTCCTGAGCTCAGGGTGCTAGCAGCCTCCGAGATTTGTAAGTGGAGAATTGCTAGCTTGCAAAGGTGAAGCTGTAGCTGGGACCTCGGAGAGACGAAAGGGGTCCGAAGCAGTGCATCATGCAGGGTGAGAAGCTCTGGGATCGTGAAGGGGAATCCCTCAATACTGTGGGTTATGTCGGTGATGAGGCAGGCGGGCATCTTTGAATGTATTAGATCTGGCGGGTTACACGGCAGGTGGGCCTTACGAATCGGGTGAGGAGTGCTATATATAAGCCTTTGCTCGTCTCGTCCTGGAACGAGACTATATCTTGCGTGGACTTCACAAAGGCGATAGCGCCTCCGAGATGTGGATTGAATATGGATTGGTTGGAGCAGGGGTTAGTCAAATCCTTGACATGGTTAGCGACTGTTGTATCAGAGAAAGGTGTGCTTCTTCAACAGTTGAGGAAAAAAGCATCTAATGCAATAGGCACTATACCTCGTACATACTAAGCACCAGCATAGTGAGAATGACTTCATTTCGCCTACTTGTAGTGTTACTACCAATTATCTGGCGGGTAAGCTGGAGAGCCCTGTGGTAACTGTCTATGGCTTGCTCTTGTGCATGTCGGCCGTTATCCTTTCGCACGATGAAGGTAAGGATGAGGCTGATAGAGCCGGTAGAAGTGGCGAGGAAGGCATTGGTGACGGACTGAGTTGGGGTATATAAGTTAAGCAACCACCGTAGACGCTGGCGGCCTGTGGGAGACGGACAATGTCTACATAAAGACGATGTAAATTGGTTTGATCAAGTGCCGCAATAGGAGAGCGTAACAGAGCAGTAAATTGTGCCCTCATCCAAACGCTCCCCCAGAACTCACTACTTTGAGCAGTAGTCTGGCTATTCCATTTAGCCACGAGCATGTCTACATTTGATCCTGGCGCTGTGCTCTGTTTCTCAGGCGTATGGTTGGCGTCTGAGTCACAATAACCCTCACAATGACGTTTGGCTTTCGTGCATCGCAGACATATTGGCTTTCTCTCATCGCACTGGACTGTGTGATTAGCTAGGTTGAAGGTGATATCAAGATAAATCAACTCCATACTTTGACTTTGCGAAAGCGACAGGTATAACATCCACGACTCGGGTGTCCCGGGTAGACCATAGTGCTCCTCTCCCAGAAGCGCTCACTTCTGTAAGTACCTACGCAGTGGAACCTTTCTTCCTGGAGCAGTAAAACAGTAAAACAGCTCTCTGAAGTAAGGATATCTCCCTGATGTTTAACCCCTCATTTTTCAACATTCAACATTTGGCTAAGACCTTTAATGGAGTTCAAAGGTCGCCAATTTGTCATTTTCATCCTGTCAGTATAGGGCATCGGCACGCACTGCCCCGCTTGGCGGCTGATCCCCGCCTTGAATCAGATGTCGCCCAGCGCTATTGGGAGTTTTTGATTCGATAACTACTTAGAGCCGGGAATCCAGGCTACAATCGAAGAACATCAATGGTTTAGAAAAGCATGTCATGTCGCCGCTGGCTGGCCAAGGAGAGGTGAACTCGGTAGCCACACATCTTTCGAAGACCATTTATAATGGATCGAGCGGGGTTACAGATTTCTCAATTGCCCCGGCAGAAGTTGCATTGGTATTCGGTGGGAGGTTATTCATTTGATATGGATCGGCTTGTGTATGATTAACACCAGTGGTTGCCAACAGAGAGGATGGAACTCATCGTCAGGGTATACATTCCATACTCGTTATTGCAGTGGACAGAAGCTTGTTCTCTTGGCTAATCAAACAAAGTATCTTATATGTTCTCCGCCTGTCCATTGCCTGTGACGCTGCTTAGTTTCCAACTACCATGACTGAAATGGAGAGAAGCCATACCTTCGCCTTGATTATCAGTGCCTCATATGCCTATAACATCAGCCTTACCCTAGTATTTCACGTTGGCATGCCCATGGCGCGCTGACTTTAGGCTCTGGAACATGGACTTGGGACAGCCTCTTGCCAAAAGTCAGTAAAGCGAGTGTTTAGTTATGGTTCCAAGCGTACCATAGGGAGGTCAAATGTCAGTGAAAATCATATTAACGAGCTGCCTTGCTTGTGACCAGGCTTAGTTTGGACCGGAAACAGAGGGCGCTGATAGACGTTCGCCTATTTATTGCCTCACAGAGAATCCTTGTGCCATAAAGGAACTTAATGCTCCTCTGTTGCAAGAGGTGTTTCTGGACATAGGGCATATAGTTAAGAGAGGCCATATATGATCTTGATCATCAGTATGAAAACATGTTCGGTCTCTTCGAAAACACAGTGGTTGTCAATAAAATGAATGACAAGGTTTGTAGCAACTTCCTTGCCCTCCGCCATGCTCTATTGCTATGGTATTGATATGGACACTTGAGGGCTTTCGCGTTATACACAAAGTTGTCAATTGGGAAGGTTCAGTATTAAATAAATAGTAGAATTGTTTTATATGAATCAGACCTAGTCATTAATCAACCAATTAGTTCCCACGATAGGTACCTATTTCGCCCCCAGAGTGACAAAGACGATGGAGCATATATTGGCTTGGCCGGACTACTGACACTCGCAAGGCTCGTAATTCTTAGGGCCTGGCCGTGCTAAATTGCAAGCAAACACAAGTAGTGTCGACATCAATCTTCATTGAAAACGATGATAGGCCACCACTATGTACCAGGCTTGGGCCTGATGCTGACATGAGCGACACAATTGGAAGTCTCCTGATAAAGACATTGGCAAAAGTGATTTGAGAGTAAACACTCGCAAGCAAACTTCCGACACATGCAAGAGTGTCTGAACAAAGCTCACTGATGTTAGGGCCGGCCCCTCGCAAGCTTCGTTTATACAAACACCAAACTAAGAACAGCCTAGCCCAGTATTCAGCAACAATGATGGCCATAAACTTTGATACCCCGGATTATCGAATGTCTCCTAATACGAAACGCTCGCAAGATCCCTGTCACCTTTTAAGGGAATGATTGGAGGAAATGAAACTCACTGTGGGTCTTGAGATGAGGAGTTGAAGCCAAGCTGCAGATCCGCGCTGTGAACACCAGCTATTGGCCAGTGTAAGTCTGATAGATTGATCTTTGAATATCTGAGGTAAAGTAGAATAATGTGTACCCTATGATATATATAGCGCATGGCGGCCGTCGAAGTCCATGGTATCAGAAACACCAGTGAACAAAACTGGACACAATGCTCGGAAGGCCTTTATCAATTCATTTACTCCTGGTGTCCATCTCTATGGTGGCATGCCTTGAGCATATCAATCCGAGTCCGGACGAGGCAACTGTATTCTCCTTGGTTGTATGTTTTACTGTAGCATTTGAAGTATGGATTGAAGGCGACGACTGACATACTATCTAGTATGGCTATCCACTGGTTTCATATGCCACATTTGCCCTCCGAACGTTGGCCAGGCTGAATTCAACCAATAGCTTCTATCATTTGCGAGAGCTGACAACGCCTGAAACTACAGCTGTGGTGCGACCCAATGTTGACACCCTGTATTCGGCGGCTATCCTTGATCTATCACATCAGGATCTCATTCTGGATGTTCCTGTTGTTGATGAGCGGTTCTGGGTATTCCCTTTCTATGACGTGTGAGCTGGAGCCTTCTAATCCCGCAACAATATATCTCTGTAGCTGACTTCCCACGAGGTACGGCAACAACTATGCAAACCTCGGTACTGTCTCTAATAGCTCTGCCGGCAAGTATCTATTGCGTTATTCGCCGAGCAGGAACGAGACAGCCGGAGTACAGCTTTGCGATGAGACGCAATCTGAGGCGTATGGGGACTGTAGAGGTCTTAGAGGATGGATTAATGCGCCTACTCCTTATGGTGCTATCCTTGCACGACTTGTCCTTAAGAATAACGGAACAGACGTCGAAAAAATACATACTATTCAAGACCAGATCCAGATAGCTACGATACCGAGGGAGTGTGCTCAGAATATCCCGCCGCTAACGGTCCCTATGCTGAACTCATCTCTTTCTTCGGACCTGGCTACCAGAGTCATGCAGATGACAGCACGCTTTGCACCACACAACCCGCCGCGCAACCTTTCCGACCTTGCTAGAGTGAACCGCAACCTCAACGCGGCCGGTATCCGGGACGGCATTTACAGATCCCAAGTTCGAAACCTCACAGAAGCCGCTGCCACTGCAGCCGCTACTATTTCGAAAGCTTTTACTCTTCCTGCCAATCATATTGACTTGAAAAACAAATGGCAATCCGTCTCTGATACCGCACAGGGCGACTATAACACGAACTATGAGATGCGAGCGTTTGTAACTGGTTGGGCATACCTTATCGTGGATGCAACCGTGGCTTTGTATCCAATGTATGACCCGACGGCGAGTAGTTCGGTTCACGAATTGGGTGCCAACGAGGCATACGTCTTCACCTTCAACAGGAAACCTCCACTCGATAAAAATGGCTTCTGGAGCCTGACATTATACAACGCGGATACGTTTCTCATTGAAAACCCACTGGATCGGTATTCCCTTGGTGATAGATCGAACCTTACTTACTCCGATGGCATACCTGTGTATGGGGAGGATGACCGGGATGAGCCTTTCCAGATTCTCATCCAGCCAGCCGATGTCGAGCCCCTTTCCAATTGGACGTCTAAGTGAGTTAGCTGATATGTCTATTTCACCAATTGCCTGCAACGGCGACTAATAATTTGCAGCTGGTTACCGGGACCACCTGGTGGGGGGCAGATTGACATAAATCGTAAGCGTGCCGCATTCTTTTCAGCTTTGCAATCTTGATATTAATGCAGCCGATAGTTCGCTTCTATGGCCCGGCCGATGAACTGCAGGACGGGTCTTGGGAATACCCAGTAGTGAAGAAGCAGCAAGTGGTGGTCTCCAGTACCGATGCTCGGAAACAGCACTAGCTATATAGGATTTCATTTGGAGCCTCTTTTCTTTATATGGTTGTTGACACGAGGATTAAAGTTTATGAGATATTGGAAAAGATTCAATATATACCTCGGGGAATGAAGTACATCATATAAATTGCTGGTACAGCTAGCTATAACATTGAACCACTATTTGCCTTGTATAAACGCAAAAGTACTGGGCTCGTCTCAGACTCATATAACCAAAGTTGTGTGGGTATGTATGACTGTGTATCCTATCGGAGATATTCTGGACGCCATTTTTATCATTTATTATGAAAATTTATTGATATTGAGGTGACGAATGGTCACCAGCCAACTTCGCCTTCTCTATGCATAGCCTAGATTCCAAAAGTTCTCAATATTTTTCCTAGTGTCCTCATCCACATAGGCTGGAGGCTCTGCGAAGGTGACATGCTCGCCGTGTAATTCCGCAATCTTGCCCGTTAACGACTCATCAGCTGTGAATTGCGCCACTGCATTTGTTGCAGTAGACATCGGCGTTAAAATCATTGATTTAAATAAATCATTACTTGGCGCAATATTCGTTTCTATCATGCATTAGCCAGTCCAATGTCCTATTCCGCTGGCGTGTAGAGGACGGGCGAAGTGTTCTATGTCAACTCACCGATCACAGCAGGAGCCAATGCATTGATCCGGATCCTTTCTGCTGCCAGTGGGCGAGCCAGAGATCGTACGAGCCCGACCACTCCAGATTTCGTGGTTGCATACATAGGCGCCATAGGGAATGGGTATAGGCCTGCATTGGAGGCGGTGCAGACGATCAGTCCATTTGAAGAAGCGGACGGATCACTTGTGGCATTTTTGTACATGTAGTGAATGGCAAGATGGACAGCTGTTGAGATGGAAGAAATTAGAATCAACAGTACTACTTTGCCCACATGTAGCTGTACAGTTATCGACTAGGATATAAAACTTACTGTATATGACTCCCACTAGATTTATATTCAAGGTAGCGAGGTTTGGCTTGGGCGGTGCCTCGTTGCCATCTTGTTTTGCGGGCAACAAGCTTCCCTTCTCGGTAATGCCCGCATTGGCGAAGACAATATCGATTCTGCCTTGCTCGGCATATATCTTCTCAAATACGGCAGCTTGGCTTTCCCAAGAAGACACATCGCATTCTTCGAATGAGATGCTAGCCGATGGATGCTCGGCTTGGAGCTCCTGGAGAGTCTGAGTACCGGTCTTTGGGTTGATATCGAGGATGGTGATGTGAGTCTCAGGCTGGGAGATAAAGTGCCGGGTAATGCCCAAACCAATGCCAGAGGCCCCTCCTGATCGAGAAATTGATGATGTCAGTTCATTGATCGTTTCCTGGGAGGGGTTCTCTGATGTCCTTACCGGTGACGATGATGCTTCTCTTCGGTGACATATTGCGATGCGTAGAGTTCAATAAAGAAGGCTGGGATTGGATATTTCTATGGCATCTTTACATTCCACACCGGTGACAAGCTCTGTCACTGATTCAAAAGCCCCTCCTCGACAGTTCCCCACATCGCTGACGGGGTATTCCCGGGGTCGGCGGGTCTCGATGCATTTTGACAACACGGGGATGAGTGTCCCCCGGATCCTGTAAGCAGTTCTAGCCGATGACGCGACATTAATACCCTCACAAAGTGTGGAATGCGTAATATAATACAAATGGTGGTATAATCTCCGCAAAGTCACCGTCCTTGTGTTGAAGATATCCCAATTGGTAAGGCAAACAACTGTGTACCACCCTGGGAATAATCTCACACTGTCCTGCCTGAGACAGAAGGAGTTGCAAGCAGAAAAATGCTATTCTTCGAAACTTCTACTTGGGTCAAAGACGGTGAATGGTTGAAGGCTTACCGGGAAACTTTGTCCTCTTTGGACCCATGGTGGCTCCTCGGTAGTTGGAATCTGAAGGTCAATTGCCGGGCGTAACTATGGCAGACGATCTTTGCTCCACAGTTCCTCGCCACATTACGGCTTTCTCTCCAGGGTTGACTCCGCGCGTTCTTTGAATCGCGGAGTATTCAAGACTACCTCGCAATATGTGGAGGACATGTAACATGCTCTCAGGGTAGTCACCGTTGAGTTGATAGTTCATTGAATGTAGTTTTGGCCTGTTCCATATTATGAGTTAACCCTGTACGCAATAGACTTAGCTAGTATATTGAGTATGCAGACACGATACACGCTTTCTCAAGTCGGCAAACCCCCGTGGGGAACCCCAGATTCATCGGAAATTCCCCATGACGGGGCTGCCAGGCCCCATATCACCGACAAGCAACATTCACTCTGGCTTCTCAGAGCTGTTCAATTGTAATTCTAAACGAGACGGACAGAGAACTATATGGAGGCGTCGCATTCGTGTTAGTGAGGGGGGTGTAGAGGTTATAAACAGGGGGTTGACCTCCTAGCAAGGATCATCCACACTGTGCCCCATCTACGGAGCAATCAATAATTCATTCGAGTTACTTACCAGGCTTAGTATCTCTACTAGTACTAGTTCGTCCTCTTGCATGGGCCCCATCTGTTGCCATTGATTTTTTTCAACCTCTTTGTATCCAGTGAGAGGTGTTCAATCCCTAACGAACAGTGCAATTATTTAAAGCTGTCCGAAACTCTCAAGATGCCGCTTGGTATTCTAGATGATAGTAAACTGGAACATGTTCCAGGAACAGCACCGTTACATGGCCTTCATGAGACCAACACCTACTCCGGCATAAACCCCAGTCTTCTGAAACACGATTCCACCGGGCAAATCGTGCTTGTTCCTCAACCGTCCGACTCGCCGAATGACCCTTATAATTGGCCCCGGGTCAAGAAAGAGCTTTTCACAATTGCCTATGGATGGGGTTGTGGCTGCGTTGGGGGTAAGATGCGGCGAGATGCGGTCCTCGTCCTGATCATGGACAAAGCTAACGCTTCATCTTCTACAAAATAGCGGTCGGTCCACTCCTTGGTGGCGCATTTGTCCCACTCGCTGCAGACTTTGGGGTCTCTTTATCGACATTTGTTTCCGCCGTCCAGGGCGGCCTGATCTCGCTATTGCCGTTGGAAGCTTAATATTCAATTCCTTGGCTGTGAAATATGGGAAACGTCCGATTTATCTTGGAACAACTGTTGGGCTGATGGTGTCATGTTTTTGGGCGGCTGAAGCCAAAAGCTTTCGCTCATTTGTCGCTTCAAGAGTCCTTTGTGGGCTTTGCATGGCACCTATGGAGGCTTTGGTTCCGGCCTCCATTGCGGATATCTGGTATTCCTAGCTCTTGCAGTTGTCTGTCTTATATGTATTAACTAGCCGATTAGGTTCGTTCATGAGCGCGGGTTCCGTACAGCTATCTTCAACCTCGGCGTACTCGGTGGAATCAACTTGGCGGTCCCGATAGGTAAGGTTGTTTGGAGCAATCTTGGTCAATACATTTTCTAATATCCCACAATAGCGGCTGCAATCATTGAGTACGGATCGCATCGAATTGCATTACATGCGATGGGTGGTGCCTTTGCTCTGGCATTGATAATGGTCTTCTTCTGGATGCCGGAATCCGCATATGTGAGAGAAACGCTGAATATCGATACTGGAGAAACAAATGTGCGTGGTCCTCTCACGGCCTTTTTATATCCTCATGCTAAGTTTTGACAGGGTGCTGCCGAAGAAAAGCTAGACGTGGAGCAGCTCGAAAACGCTCCAAGCACTAGAGTCCAAGCAGCCGATGCACGCCACTCCTGGGCCAAAGAGCTACTACCGTACAACGGTTATGTCAACCATGTCTCGTTCTGGAATACTATCATCCGGCCATTCTATCTTTTGGCTTCGCCACCCGTTCTTTGGGCTGTGCTTCTTTTCACCAACTGTATAGCATGGCTCGTGGGAATTTCCCTCACCCTATCCCAGATTTTTTCCGCGCCACCCTACAACTTCTCCGTGATGGGCGTTGGAGCAACGAACCTGTCGTCCTTTGTCGCATCAGTCCTTGGTACCTTTAGTGCCGGACCCCTGATTGATGGCCTAGTTACCAAAATGTCCAAAATGAACGGCGGTATCTTCGGTATGATCTTTCTCTGCCGATCTCTTCATACTTACCACTTACCAATATCTATGCAGAACCCGAGTTCCGCCTACCGATTATGGTTACGTACCTTTTGTTTACCTCAACGGGTTTCTTTGCCTGGGGCCAGTCTTCCTATGCACAAGACCCGTGGCCTGTACCGGTGGTTGTGTGCTTGGGCATGATTAATTTTGGTGTCCAGCTGGGCACCACTGGCGTCGTCACCTATATTGTGGACTGTCACCGCGAGAAGGCCGGTGAGGCCTTTGCGACAATGAACTTTTTCAAAAATCTCTTCGCATTTGGGCTGTCGTTCTACCTCAATGGGTGGATTGATAACCAGGGTGTCCGCAACTGCTTCTTCACTATTGGTGGAATCACAATGGCTGCTGCATTGTTCACTATCCCTATGTGAGTGCCGCCTTGCGTGAATAATTGGTTGATGACATATATTAACATGTATTTACGCTAGGTATATCTACGGGAAACGAGCCCGAAGCTGGGTACACCGACATGGAATTGCTGATCGACTGTAAAGCACTGGGCTGTCCATTGGTTATGAAAGTGTGTTAAAGTCACTATAGGCTTTGTATAGGAGTCACTCAGTGTCCCTCTATAGGGCCATATGATATTGGTATACATTACTCTCAAGTCTCATACTTTATTGTCCAATCCCTTTATATTCCAGTTCCTGCAGAAATACCATCGACCCAGCCACTCCCGTCACTGCCTCTCAAGGCAGGCAATAATATCTCCAGCAAGTACCGGATTCATTGTTCATTATTGAGACGTGCAGATACTGAGGGAAGTTCCAATGATGTCTGCCTTCACGCAACGCAGATAAGATGAGATAGTAATCATACTTGAGTCCTTATAATACCAAGCCAGGTATTATATCCAGCCCCTGGTTGTTTGTCGTAGCCGTAGAGTGAGTTTGTCAGCTTTATACATTTCAAGAGAACAAAATCCAGTAACGTAGGGATATAAGCGTCGCAAATATGTAGGACGCGGGCCTGTCATCCCCGATTCCCACCGTCGAATGGATGCCCAACAGCTGAATTACTGCCATCCATTGGGCGTTGTGATAGCTGTTCTTCATTCCTTGGTCGCTTTACAGCTATTTTTCTATTTGCCGCAGTAGACAGGCTAATTTATGTAGATATGACAAGGGCACTTTAACAGATATAACAACGAACGGTTCTCGATAATGGTTCTTATAGAAACTTCAGATGTTTTTTACGACAAATTCCTAAAAAGAGTGTTTTTTATGAAGTGCAAAGGAAAACTCTTCGCAGAGGTAGTCTGTACATTACTTCGTACCAAAGAACCTGTGATTGACTTATATAGACACATGGAAATTATCCTATGATGAAGCCGTAGATATCCAACACTCATCGAGTTCCTAATGCCCTGTTTGACCCTTCGTACTAAGGCAATTCATCCAGTCGACCACCGCGCTAGATATAGTTGATAAAAGAACAACACCGACATGCATAGAAGAACTTAACAAGGTGTCTGCTGATGGGATACCATTTTCCACGCCCCCTCTTCTGTTTTCCGCCAGGTACTGGAACACAGTGCGTTAAAAACAACAGTTTCTCTTGCTTCACTGCGTTCCTTCTGTTCAAGCTCCTTCTCTGCCGTGACCTTATAACAAATGACCCCACTGGCACCGTGGCAATCAAGAAGTCGAACGTGGCTATCTTCAATGATGTATTTCTTCCAGGGCGTAAACATCTCGCTAGCCAAAGTTGATTTCAGAGTCGGGTTCGATTCGTTTGTAAGCAGCATGCCTCCAGGGAAGAGCATTATAACATCATCGGCAAGCATGGGAAGGAGGGCGGGGCCCGAAGCACAGAGAGCCTTCCAGGCTTCTTGCTCACAGGCCAGAATTTCGGCAGCAGAATCCATGGTCTTCACAGGATACGTAGAAGTAAGCGTTGGCAGTAGTTGCTTTTTTTCAATCTTTATGGTCTTGAGACCCCGTGCTTGAACCAGAATCGAGTTCTAGAGGGAGCTGGTAGTGGGGTTGACCCCTCTGTTTGCCGAATACGAGGTTCATTCAGGTTGTTTCAGGGCGATCTTCAGCGTAGGGCTCGGAGGCTGTAGCCTCCGAACACCAAGGCCTTCCTACTCTGATGGAGATTATGATACTTCTACCAAAGCTGTATTCTCGTGAATGTTACTATATGATATCTTATAATACGCTCACGAGCGTCTAAATACGCCATCCAATATGATATTAGATCTCAAGTGGTGAGGCTAACTTATACTCCAAGCTATGTGATATACAAACCAAACAAGTAGAGGTCAAACCAGCATTACTTGATATCAACAGCATCCATCAGCATACAATACCCGTGCTTCTGCCCCGTCGCACCATACTTGGCCAAGTTAAGGTCTAGATTCTCGCCGACATCACGGAACCCACATCTCTTGTAGAGCGTATACCCAGCCTGCGAAGCCTCCAACCATGCGGGTAGCCGGAGCCGTTTCGCCTCTTCCACCCCAGTCATTAGTAACTTGGTTCCGATTCCGCGACCCTGATACTCCGGATGAACGACCAAGACCTGCAGGACTATGTTTATATCTGTCAGATGTATTCACTCACCTCCACAAGACAACAACTAAACCAAAGAAAGATGGAAAGAAGAAAGCAAGAAAATACTCACTAGCCACTGGTTTACCCCCAATCCACTTTTCCCTCTTCTGCACCACCATCTGACGATACTCCAAACATGCCTGCGGACAAATCGACCTCGGCGGTGGTGTGGCGCGCTTCTTCACTGCTTCCTGTTCTGCTTTTATATGGGCCTCTGCATCGCGGTAGATAACCCACCACGACCATCCCACAATCCGGCCCGACTCATCATCAACGGCCTTCAGAAATTGAGCGTAGGGGTTTTCGCGGATGGTTTTCTCCAAGTCCTGAGCCAAGCCTACGGCGTTTTCTTCGCGAGGGCCGTACATGACCTCAAGGAGAATGTCATTGGGGAAGGCTTTGCTGTGGATTTCGTCGAGGGTGGTGGCGTCGGTGGGGAGAGCGGGATGGAGCGATATGCTCTTGCTTTGGGACATGATGTTTATGGTTTTATCAGAAATGAGAGGTGATGTCTGGGTTATATTTTTGGGGAATGAGAAGGGGCTTATCTTGGGGGGATATACTTGAATCTCATTGAGATACTTGAATCTAACAAAATATTATGGGAGAAACAATCGATTAGGAACGAGATGGCGCTAGATCTTATTAGGCAGTGTTGATATCAATACTCTATTCATCGATTCAAGGGTTGCGGAAAGTTGATGCCTTCGACTAAGTTGCTAAATTGCGACGCCGATGAAGCTAGCGTTGGGTCGCGACGTTCATAGGTTCGGACTCTCCCGGGGTCAGAGAATGTTTAGCTAATATCTGCAGAGTAAGCACATACCTCCAGGTCCACTCGGTTGCACCATTAAAACGGGGCTGCCTGGTGCAGACGTCAGTAACAGACCCGAGAGCTTCTTGGATAGCTGGCTGGTCTGTACGTGTAGCAAGGGAGTCAGGGTGAATAGCTAAATTAGAGTTTCATAAAACCTTTAAAAGTGTAGTCCAAAGCTGAAGAAAACAATGCACAGGGTTTGATTACATATAATTAGCTATTAGACATTATAAAAAGGCCAACGTCGTATATAAATAGGAGAAATCATCACGACGTTGCAGCATTGGTTCAAGCATCTCGGCTCCTCGAAAGCGAGACCGAGCCATCAGTATCATACCAGACTCATACCGCCATAATCCAGTGAACGTGCCCATTCATATAACCTCATACAGTACGGCTGAGGTCAATATCCTGATCCTTCGAGTCGCTTTTCCGCATCTTATGAGTTGCACGACACGCCCACACGAAAAACCCAAAATGGATGACACTAACCATTAATTAGCGAGAGAAACTGGAGCAGGCAAAGTTAACCTACAGCGCAATAAAAGCCATGGCCGTGCCGAAATGCTCGACATTGGCCACAAGCTTTCCATCACAATCAGGTCCACCGTTGACACCACAGCTATATCCGCCTCCAGTAAAATATGGCTCCATGAACACCAGGTATATTATCAGAGTGCTAACCAGCGCGGCCCAAGCGAAAAGATCAAAAGTAAGATAGATGGCTGGGTGGATCGGGACGGGAAGAGATAATTCAATAGATGCTATTATCAGCGACCAAACGAAGGTGTACTCGGTCTGTAGTATAACATCAGCAACCTGTCTGCGTGAATGAGTCTTCAGATACTGACCGCTCCGGTGACTGGACTGACCAACGCATGGGTCAAGTCTGTCACGATCACCATATCGCCTTCAAACATTGATTGGGAATACCCGAAAGCTATCAACGCAGCGAGGGAGCTGATAGCCGCTGCGAATCGCAGGTAAATTGAAGTACGCGGTGTGTGCATCTTGTGTGTGGCAGAGAAAATTATGGTTACTATTCAACGGGTTAATTTTCTCAAGCAGGTAGGGTTACCATAAGCAATTTATTATTGCAAGGTATTTTTTAATGACCACCTACACCTCTTAAATAAGATCGATCTTTGGTTTGGTGAGCATCACACATTCGATCCTTTACAAATAGCATCAGCCAAGACTTAGATACGAGGCAGAGCCACTTGCCCCCAGTGCAGATCACTACACCTGTCGGGAAATACCAAGATATGCACAGCCGCCAACCTACCAGAGGTCTGTTCAGGCGAGCCAGTAGTATACCCAATGGGGTTAATGCTGGACTTTGATTTTTCTACTGCGCCTCCCTTAAATATCTCATGCGCGACTGATCAACGTGTATTGCGTACCTGAATTTTGAACACGCCTGCATAGCTTGGTACATAGATAAGCTAATATCAGTCTCAATAGAGCTCCACTCTGATCTTGATTGTACCAGGCTACTACTCAAGTTAGTTAGATGGTTGCAGATATCGCACTTATTACCTGCTGTGCTTATTTTAAATCTTCTGCTCTATTCAACACTATTACATCATTTATGTACATCATAGGGTTGGGAAGGTAGGCTTCCTACGTACTTAGTTATATTAAGCCATGTACTAGTTAGCGAATTTGTACTTGTTAATAGATCGCTACTATTATATGTCGATGCTCATCTATTCTTTCTTATAATTTATTAGGCTTAATCTCCTTTTTTTCATTTCTAACCTACTACCTTTTATTTTCTATTCTTCATAATTTAAGAGTCCGCTGGGATGGATTCCCCCTTTCTTGACTGAAACGTGGACATCTACACTTTGGATGGGGCGATGTAGCTCTAGGCTTGTAGCATCTATTTGTTTGTGTAAGAGTAATTGTTTCCATTGCTTACTATGAGTCAAGACAGCTAGTACCTGGCGTCCGGCTGTTCAAGCGCTACCATTCATTTCAAGAATTGCCTAACAAAGTTCTGCTGTACCATCATTGAATTTTGAGGACCTCTATCCCTGGTTCAGCGTTTTGTATATTATGCCATATGACCGTGACAAGGGTATAAGACAGTGCATTATGTTTACCTCAAGACCGTAAAACTCTAATGGAAAGAGAGGAGTACGAAGATGCCGTGCCTGACTATATTTGACGGCTACTGCACGTTATCAAATCAACACTTACATAGGGAAAGAAGTCCACGAGATTGAACGTACAGGTTAAGACAGTTGAAAAGCTTCAATATAAGCTTCGAACCTGTATGTTCCCTACACATGAAGCCAGAAACCGCATACAGAACGAGACAGAGATCCATCAACAGCATTCAAGACCAACGCCAATCAAACATACAAAGAAACATGCACGGGAAAATACCACAGGTTTAATCAATGTTGGGATGGAGGTTGTCCTTGTATCCATGACAACTGATCGCGCCATTGCTCGCGACTTTCACCTTTGGGACTATAGCCTTTCAGTTAGAAAGCAGTCTCAACCATGGTATGGAGAATACTCACCCAACTCGAATCTCACATCAGCTTTACCTCTCTCTCCTGCCTTCCTGTCACATTTACATGTGAGTGTGAATGACATCCCTCTTTCTGCTGTCTTCCCCTTGTCTGCCCTCTTCCCTTTCCCTGCCTCGCCTTCCGCTACAGATTGCACCCCTTCTACCTTGCATTCTGAGCAATGGCCTTTCTCAATACCATTCCCACTAGGTCCATTAGTTGTCCATCATAACACGAGAAATGACTAGATAGCATGACATCTTATACGTACTCAGCTGTCCAAGTAAATTGTCCATTTTGCTCATCCCAACCGAGGCATTTGTCCAGGGGAAGCCTTGAAACACCAATACCCGGGTTTTGATCGGCGTTACTAACACGTCGGGGTGGGTTCTCCTGAGGAGGTTGGCCGTCTTGCTGGGGTCTTGGTTTGGTGAGTTTGCCGACATCTCGGGGTGGACACTGCGCCACAAGGTGCCATCTACTGCGATCCCATTGCTTTAGAATAGTTGTCTCAACCTTGGAACACACGTAAAGCTCCCTTTTAGGGTGTTTAAGAGATCCCCCTATTTTGGAACCAACACGGTGTAGGCCACTTCTGAAGCCTCCCCCGCCTGGTGTGGAGCTCTCGCCTGTGGGCTGAGTTACAGCCAAAACGGAGAGGATTAAAGTGATGATAACCCAAGCGCGATACATTTTTGCTGGCAGATCTGATAGCACCGGTACGAAAACAGAATATATATATATATATATGGGATATATGGGGAAACGACAGAAAGCGGATAGAAAGGAAAATTCAGAGATAGTATGCTTTTGGAAAGACCTCTCCTGGGCTTCAGGTAGGGGTTTATATAAAATAAAGGATTTGTACGTACTTCGAGTCTCTGGTTGTGTTTGAGCAGCTTTTTGATAATTTAGCGAGCTATTTTTAGCCCTTTGAGCCATTCAGTATAAATTTTCAGCCGTAAGAGAGGTCCTTGCTTCCTTTGTTCAAACGGCCTGGGGCGCTGGGCGACTGTTTCGGGAGTAGTACACTACGCTTTTGTACATCGGTTGTAGGGTACTGTAGTTGTTCAGGGGGTAGTTTAAGAAACGTTTAAGAGCGCGAACCTCCTTGCAATCTCCATTACCTTACCTAGAGGAGGTATGTCTTGATAGTTGTACTACCTGAGGTCACACACATCCTTACCGATTGCCCGACGAACGGAAGCCCTTTGAACGCAATGTCGACCTCTGTAATATAACCAAATTAAATCAAAATTTAGAGTCGAAAGTTACTAACTATACCTTGAATTAGAAAAGAACCCTTTGCGATGTGTTAATGGGTCTCACATTATGATTTTACTATAGGGATTGCTTATAGAATTGTATCGCTGATCTTAAGAATTGTGAACTCCTGATTTGCATTCCTTGACAAGGGTTTTGCAAAGCTTATTTTTATTTTCAATTTCTTCACCCTTCACCATATATCTTGGACTTAAGCGCAATGGATTAAACAACAGGATATCGCCTATCTTGTTGGTATTAAGGGTCAGATTGCCCTAGAATCAACCACATTTCAACTCGGTTCAGGGGTACAACTTAAATATCGTAACGGGAATCGATTTATCGGCAATATTGGAGACTGAAACTTCTATCCACTCTGAGGTTGTAACGAGAAACCTGTTGCTACCTATCATAATGCATTGATATCAGTGAGAGTGATTGGTGTTTACCGCAAACCTCTTTTAGAAGGGGAAAGCAAAGAAAAAGAAAAGGCTAGATTCTACTCCTTCCCCAACAGCTGTGGATCATTCAAAAATTTCAATATAGTTCTAAACCGAAGAAGTCGCTTTGTGGGTTTCAAAATTGGAGCTTGGCTAACTACTCAACATGTGGGCCCAGATTCCGGAGAACAACTTGGCCTCTACTGTGCCGAATATTGGGGTCAAAGTTACCCCCAGCAAGGACCCACATAAGGGCCTTCTCATGTATATTCATAAGGGTTACTCCGTACATGAGCCGAGAAGGCTTTGACAGAAAAAATCTTCAGCCCCATGACACCCTGGACAAAGCAACATGCCGATCGTCCCCATTCAGTATGCCCCCCTTCTCTTCACATATCCTGGCCACTCCACCGCAACTGGTTTCCGATACCCTGACCAAATAGGCCGCGACGCGACAAGTTGCAAGCCATTTGGCCCAAGCATCGCTCCACCGTCCAGGCCCCACAGCGTCACTGCTATATAGTTGATCCCATTGTAGTTGAGGATTCCCTCGGGCACAGGGAAATCCGTTTGCGGGCCAAGGTTGTTGACTGATTGCAATTAGCAAGTACAATATAGGTAGACGTATAACGTAGGACAAGTCAGAAAGGAGTAGGAGATATTCTGCGACGTACCAAATTTCCCAAACTGAAAGCCGTTCACATAGAGTTGACAACGATAATTACGCGTATGTACGTCGTCTGTCGAGCCATTGAAGGCAAATACAAACCGTAGCGGAATGTCATATCCTGTCGGTAGGTCCAGGGGAAAGGACGTGGTGAAGAATCCAACCCCTGGCTTCTCGATCCCTTTCGTAAACGGGCTTCGCATTTCCCATGTATTGCTCGGAGGATAGGGTAGATGGTAGCCCTGTCGTTCAGCAAACATGGCGCCCTCGTTGAGAGGGCCACGGATGAGATCGCGATACTGCTCGCCGCCAAGGTTTCCCGTCATCTTCCAGTGTAGGTCAGACTGATGCTCATGACCAGAAAGGGAGTAGTCCAAGATGCCGCGCGGGAACTTTATTGCGTCTGTGCCTGGGGCCTCCTCGTCGTACCCCATGTGGTCAATTAAGATGCTGATGGTGTAGGGCTTTCCCGGAGAGAGAGCCGCAAGGTTCGCAGTGGGAACAAGTGAAATGTTCTGCGCATAGAACGAAGTATCACTGCTTCCTGCCCAAGAATCGAGATGGTTATCGTTCAACCAGATGGAATACCCGAAGCCCGACCCGCCGGAGATATTTAGAAAAAGGAAGCTCTCCTGCCCGTTAGCAATAAAATGCCCTCGGTAAAGGAAAGACCCAGTGTGGTAGCCGTAGTCAAGCGCATAAAGGGAGGTTGGAGTAGTGAGGTTCCGAGGGTTGTTGGTCCAGGATTGATTGAGAACCTTCCAGGCCTCGTCATCGTACGAGGGATCAATCTCCGGAAGGGTATCGAGATACCTCCATTCAAGATCATGGAGAGTGGGAAGGGTAATTGTGGGCGGATTGTACTGGATTAGTCCATGAAGCTTACCTCTGGATGAAAGCGTAGTGTTGAGAAATTGATCATTAAACACCACACCATTTACTTCTTGTGGCGTGGATATGACCTCAATGGTGGTTGTTGCATTGACGTCTCCACTCAAAACTAGGAGGTTGTTCTGAATTGTTGCAGTCCGAACAAGGTAACCTGCTTTCACAATGATGAGATCTTTTGATGGTGAACTGTAGTTGTGTATAGGCCCCACGCTGGTGCTTCCAGTATCCAGTAATTGTACGCATCATTACGCCATAGAAGATGAACCTCAAGATCTCCAACCTGGATCACCCTAGGAGTAGCTGTTACTCTCCATTGAATAACCCATGCACCATGTTGTTGTCTGATTACAATACCAGAGACTGGACCGCCTAGAATGACTGGTTTGGATAATGCCTGCGAGAGTGCAATTTCATGCACTTCATCTTCTCCACCATATAGAACCAATACGCGGGTCGGGCCAAGGCTATGTGCCCATGTCAATACCTCCGCCGTGGAATAGATCATGTTAATGCCTCCAACATCATAATCTGTGACGTGTAACTTGGAATCACGTCCGTTCAATGACAATGTTGTATTATGCAGCTGTGGAATGGTGAAATTGCCGATACTGGTCGACGCAGTTAGTCTGTATCTTGCACTGCCCGTGAATGTAAAATCAGCATGTCTAACAACGTAGAAATTTGTTTTGGTGCCATTTCCAACCAGGGGAGTGACAGCGATTCCTGGGTTGTCTGTGTACGAGCCGTTCTTGCCAATCCCTGGGGTTGCCGTTAGATAGGCCGGTGATACTTTAAAGAAGTTGGCTTGCAGTTTCTGTTCGCTGTACTTTTCACGCGTGAGGGTTCGGTCCTCAGCGATGGAGGCACCGTAGTCATAGGAGGTATAACCCCCATGGTATCCCAGATTTCCCCAGTTTGTACCACCGTAAGTCTGGGGAAAATTAGTAAGATTTCGTTAGAGATGCAAATTTGCGCAATCTGACCATGTAGATGTTGAAGATCTTAACTCCAAAGCTGTAGTTGTTCTTGTACACCACTCGAGAGGCTTCGTGATTGACCAGCATTGCACATCCTTCCTCAGTGACTCCTCCCCTGGTTACGGTTAGATCGGTGAATATAGTGAGAGTGATTTGCTCTAGAAGTAAATAAAAATATGTACGCCATAGGACTTACCATCCCCCGCCTGACCCTCCTTGAAACTCCATAATGGTAAACGGCGTCGTGGGACTCTGCTCTTCATGCAAGATATTCCAATCATAAGGAAATCTGTACGTTGGCCAAACATCCGGATGTGCACCTCAATATAAGTTAGCTCCTTGCTTGTCTCAAGCAGTCAACCCAACAGGAGCATGCACATACAGTCATACCGCATGGGGTAAGCATCAATTCCATAAATATCTACCTCACCCAGTCCGGTTCCAGGTGCGAAGTATCCTTCCACTTCGTTGTCGTTCATTGCCATGGGCACTTCCACACCCGCAGCACGCAACTCTTCCGCCATCAACGCCATAACTTCACGATTCATCTGTGATGGGAATTCCTCCTCCGTCAGCCCTGGCCAAGTAGTATACTCATTCTCTGGCTGGACCATGATAACCGGCCCCCCTCGCGTGATCTGTGCATCGGCAATGACCTTTCCAACTTTCGACATGTAGTTCTTGATGGAAGCCACATAGTCGGGACTCATTGATCGAATGGCTCCTTTAATACGTAAGACCCATCCGGGGATGCCCCCAGCAGAGGTTTCGGCATTGATATATGGACCGGGTCGTGCGATGAGATAGATTCCGGCCTCAGAAGCAGCAGCGAAAAATTCATCAAGATTCCAGATATCAGTGCTATTGTGAATACCGTTGTCGCCGATCATAACATTTCCTGGGTTGCCTTCCAAAAGACCCCAGTCGGTGTAGAAGGAGACACCGTTGAAACCCATGCTTTTGATCTTCTGGAAGACATCTAGCCACAACCCAGGAACGGGAAGGCGGAAAGGGTGAAATTCGCCCGAGAAGATCATGATACGTTCATCGTTGATCATGAGAGAGTGTTGATCCCAGGTGACCTGCCAATAGTTATTAAATGCCGTACCGGAATTTCCTCATGTGATTTATTAGTCCAGTCTCCATACCCTAGTTTGAGTGGCCCCTGATCTCTTGTCATGATTAGAATTAACTGCATTTAATGCTCTCGTTGTGAATGCATCGGCAGATCCACAAATCACTACAAGACTGATGAGCAACAGCAGTGGACAGAAATGTAGGAGGCGTAATGGTAATCGCATCTCTGTTTCTATGGCAAGAGTAAGAACGGTTAACGCGTAAAGTGACGGCACATAGATATTTAATGGCGAAGGATTCTCATCCAGCTCTCCTAGGAATTAACTACTAAGCCCGGCCCGTATCAAGACACCAGGCAGAAGAGGATTGTGGTTTGTCTTTCACAGCCCAAATTCAACTGAAACCACTACTATAAGCATTTCCCTAGCCCTCATGGTACAGGCGGTTAAATGAATAATGAGGGATAAATTACACTGGTATTATTGAGCTCCTGCTGGCTTTGCTTCAAGCAGTAAACGTGCATTATTTGGACTCCGGCTCGAAGTTGCTTGGAGATTGGTGGAGAAAGTTGCACCAGCGCATGATATATCTTGGTTCTAGACTTTACTAAGATGCATTATGATCTAAAGATGTATTCAGGCTGAATTCTGGTACATGCGGGGTTAAGTATTCAACTGACGATCTCGGGGATTTCTCCGAGATCGTGGGGTTATGGTAAGCATGGCATTCCACCTATTTTGGCTTAGCAAGAGCTCGATAAATTTTAATGATAAGCACAGCAGTACGAGTTTGTTTGAAGTTCATGTTACCAGAAATTATCACACGAAGATCACTAGGATTGTGACAGGAAGCAACATATGGGGACTGGAAATCCGAGCCAGAACATGGAAACAGAAGTTCTTGAGCAGACTTGGTGTTGATTGGTAGAACAATATGGAGGGCTGAAAAGTGCTTTTCAGATTATCCTACGTGGTGGACCTGGACTATGATTAACGAAGCTGTAGTCCAGAGAGTATTGTGCTGAGTTGAGATGCCGAAGACTTACATGATCCTCGTTTCTAGCCTTAGATCTAATAACAAGCACAAAAGCGAGACAATGTATGGGCTTTACTCTTGCTTTCTGGCTATCTGCCAATAAGTTTGTTGTAGGTGATATACGTAAACTATCCTCGCAAGTCTATCTTTAATCCTTGGCCTCGTTGCCTTGAAAAATATGAAGATATGTTATTTCGTCAAGAATCATATTCCGGCGAAGTTAAATTTCATACATTGCTTGATTTGCTACCATAATGCACTTATACATATTGTTATTGTGATGGCTTGATTCAAACGCTAAAATGAACTACATTGTGCAAATGTATGACATTCACTTGATGTCAGATTTGTCACGTACCACAGAAATTGTTCAACGACGAGAGGGCGACATATAAGCTGACCTGTCTTTTCGCATAATGCGATGTAGCCATAGGCTAGCCACACAAGGGTATGTGGAATGTATAGGAATGCAAGTCATGTTACTGATGACTGGATTAAGCTCACTAGGGTACGTCACGATTCTGGACAAACTCACCCTCCATCGGGGACCTCGCTTTCATATTCTCGCCTTGGCAATCCCCGAGCCAGTTGTTCTCTCGTACGTGATACATCTTATTCGTATTCTGGATGGTTCAGTATACACCATGCTGGCAGCAACATCCATTTAACATGTACGATGAGGGTGTCTTCTGATATCTTGTCTTGATACTGGATTTTTGAGGAACCTCTCTATGAACTGCAGCTCTAGTGGACCTTTCTAGACCATGAAAATAATGGATACAGACGAGCCTAGTCTTCTAATCGGCCATCATACGCAGTCAATAGACATACCTTGGCTAACGTTTGGGTTTGAGAATCTGATCTCAGTATCTCTCGCTGTTTATTTATATCTCGTGTCTCTCTTGAATAGACGATATGCTTGACCTAAGTACCCTCAGCTTTTACTTTTGGCAAATCATATTTCTCCTTTTCTATCTCCCTTTCCTATATAGTAGTTGTCCTTGAACGATAAGAATCACCGACATCATGGATGGGACATCTCAGATTCCAGTTGGAGACACTCTTATTTGGCGAGCCTATGGCCAATTCGTCAAAAGGTTGTTGCTCGGCCCCAACACCCCTAAAGAGGGCTTGGACTATGTTTATGTGTGCCCTCCCACAGAGCATGGGCTCCGTGGGGGACGGCCCATTCCGGATGCAGTGACCAACTCAAATGTCTTCTCCGTTGCCGACTCTTTACAGAGGGCTGATTCGCCTCTGTTTACGGTTCGCACGGACCTAAGTTACTTTGAGTCCCTCGATAAGTATGCAATGATGGGTATCCCAGTTTAAGAGCGACATACTAAGAATAGCAGTTATCTCAAGGCTGTGACAGTCAAGACTATCACCCAGGAACAGAAGGCCGAGATCAAACAAGCCATTAAAGAGCAGATTGAAGCCGAGGAACAGAGGAATATCGCAAAGGCTGCTGCTCTAGCAGCATGGAAGAATGATCCCGACGCTCAGGCTAATCATAGGGCTTTTCACGACTGGGCTATTGACAATGCTGATTCGTACCTGGAGCTAGAGGAGCAGGTCACCCTGACTTCAGGCCAAGTGGATCTACTCCAGAGCAAGTATTACGGGGCGATGGCAGGAACGCTCCGAGAAAAAAGGGAGAAGCTGGAAAAGTTGGCAGCGGATACGAAGTACAGTAACCCAGGGTAGGGCCACACGCATCTCTGGTATTCCGCAGACTAACCCCTTTCCAGGTATAACATGCCATGCTTCATTCGCGACTACGCCATTGACGAGGCGGCCCTCGATGCAGATCGCAGGGTGGAAGATATAGATGGGCGGGATCTTGTTTATCAGCCCCTTTACACCATTGACGGATATGAATCATCCTGCGACTCTTGGATCAAGGGGACTGCTGGAGATGATACAATTGTCACGCTGGACCTCACCTCGTCCAGATACGATGATTGGAAAGAGCTTGGCCATTCTCAAAGCATCTCTAGGGAGGCAAATAAGTTCTTTTTCTTTTTCAGCAAGTCAAGCAGCACTAGCACTGCTGAAACACACCTTAACTTTGACGGGAGCGAATGGAAACAGCAGACAAAGATTACGTTGTATATGTCTGGGCCTGCGCAGGTTTTCAACATCACACCTGGCTTATGGTGAGCTATTCTGTGCTGTCTATTCATTCTTACCCAAACATAACTCTATTTAGGGATGATAGTGGTGTACGGAGGACGTTTCCTAATCTTCTTGAGGGGGAAAATGACGCTGCACTTGGTCTAGTCCGCGTCTCCAAGATTCTTGTCGGTTACGAAGTGTCTCTGAAGATCCGTTTCGCTGAATCCCTCAAGACTCAAGTAAGGAACATGGTGAGCCAGGCTAAATCGGAATCCAACGGTGGACTTCGGATTTTCGGTTTCCAATTTGGTCCTGACCAAGCTTCTGGTACCTCTTTTACAAGAGATGTGAACTCAGTCAAATACAACGAAACTAGCAACGAGATTTCACTTCCTGCAAGTCCTCGGGGCTGCCCGGTGATTCTAGGAATTCTCGGTCGGAAAATCGGTGTTGAACAACATTGATCTCTAGGTATGTGTACGTGAACTTTGAGCTCTGTGTTAGTTTATCTCTCCATTTGGTTGTTTCAATCCCTCACCACTATTCGATGCGTGGGTAGGATACGTTATAAGGGTGGACGTATTGGATTAATTTGTCCTATTCTGGGCCTTTGGACTAGCAGGAGGTTGCAGAATTCAACTTCTGCAGCAGGCCTCATTTTTCCTATTATATTCGCAGATGGGGCTTCCAACAAGCCCATGATTATCTAGCTTTTGCCAACCAATCTATTTCGGAGGCAACACAGAATGTTATGTGGAGGTAGTCATTCTCTCTCTCTCTCTCTCTCTCTCTCTCTCTCTCGGTATGTGCCGACTGTCTCTTCTGTAAGATCGTACTTAGTCTTCAAACATACCAGCTCTCGAGGGTTGAATACAAAGATAGACTCCTCTTCTTCCTCCTGCAAATCGCATGACCCACGGGGTTTCCACTTGTTCATCCTATTTTAACCGCCTAGCCCGAAAGGATTCTTACGAGACAAGCTCGAAGGGAATGAGTCTCTTGGCGATAGGGGTAAAACTGGAAAGTCGCGAAATGTGCATACGCCCTGTGGACTGTCCCACGCAGAATGCAAGATACCTGCGCATTTTCTATTGCATTGAGAACCCGATGCCCATCTTTACAGCATGCGTTAAAATTTTGTTAAAGTTCAACGATGAAGCTTGGTTTGTCAGGGTGGATCTCATGCGGCGAATTTGTGCATGCTTGATGTTGAAAAGTCCACCAATCCAATTTCTTGGGGTGTGCTAGAAGGGAAGAAAAGCCGGTAGCAATTTAAGGACGGAGTTCGGTCGGCGAGAAGGAATAAAGCTGTCCCCACAAAGGCTCAAACATCGAGTTCTCCCCTGTCTCGGAGCTTTCGGGAGTTGAGATTCAGACAATCTAACGCTTCCTTCAATACTTTGCCAAGCTAAGGTAATATCTCCTAATATTTGCCAAAATTGCAATACAAATCATGACTAGGAGGGGCTGGGCCTGCTCTCTTTTGGATTAATTGGGTTGATATTCGCTCTAATTAAGAAGAAGTGGCCGAGAAATAAAAATTGGAGGAGCCGGGCCCACTAGCTCTAAAGAAGCTTCTTTAACAGCCGGACAAATTACTTAACGCCCTTAGCCATTTCACATATAGTTATCTAGGTTCTGAGGAACCCCCACCGGTGTCTCCACTAGGAGGTCCTGATCGATCTCAATCAATAGGGCATGATGGAACACGCGTAAGACATGCTTCCCTATAAAAATAAGGTACCCTCGCGCCCTCTAGTTCCTCCCTCAATAGCAAACTTAGATTCGTCGATCTTTTTTCCTCGTAGCAAGCATGGTGAAATCACTTTTGGTGTCCTCTCTCTTTGCCGCGTCGGCCCTGGCCGCGAGCCGTATGACAGCTCCTGCCGGTGCGATCGTTGTAGCCAAGTCTGGGGGTGATTATGCCACGGTAAGCATGTGGAAAATGCAGATTGAATACCTTTGTATATGCTCTGACGGACTGTTATGAATAGCTTGGTGCCGCCGTGAATGCCCTGAGCACCACCGAGACCGCGACGCAGACCATCTTCATTGAGGAGGGTACCTACGACGAACAGGTGTACATCCCATCGTTGACTGGGAAGCTGATTATCTACGGTCAGACGGAGGAGTATGCAATGATTCTGTACTGAGCAGCAAATGACTATGCCAACTAATAGTGTATTTACAGCGACACCACCTACACGGGCAACCTTGTCAACATCACTCATAACATCAAGCTAGCTGACGTCGCTAACGATGACGAAACCGGTCAGAACTCCATCATGCACTCTAGCCTATGTTCTGGTTCACTGTACTTACAGAACATATAGCAACTGTTCGCAACCACTCCCCCAACTCGTCCATCTACAACCTCAACATTATCAACTCATGCGGTCAAGTCTGCCACCAGGCCCTGGCCGTGAGCGCCTACGGCAATGGCCAGGGATACTACGGATGCCAGTTCACCGGGTACCAGGGTAAGCAACAGAAAAAATGGAGGAGCAAAGAGCTCTGCAATACTGACTCGCCATCAAATAGATACACTTCTCGCTCAGAGTGGAAATCAAATCTACGCCCACACCCTCATCGAGGGTGCCGTGTAAGCTCTCCTATATTCTTCCGTCAGGATCGCAAGAAAATAGCTCACACCCATTTGCCAATTCAGTGACTTCATTTTCGGCCAGCACGCCCGTGCCTGGTTCCACGATTGCGACATCCGTGTGCTGAAGGGCCCCAGCTCCGGCTACATCACCGCCAACGGCCGCTCCTCCGAAACCGACTCGTCCTACTACGTGATTCACAAGTCCTCCGTCGCCGCCACTGATGGCAATGATGTCCCCTCGGGTACCTATTACCTCGGTATGTTCTACTATGTTCTATACTTCTATCGAAGCCGTACTTCCACGCTTCATGTTTATTGACAGTCTATATCACAGGCCGCCCCTGGTCCCAGTACGCCCGCGTTCTCTTCCAGGAGACTTCCATGACCGATGTGGTCAACCCTGCCGGCTGGTCTGAATGGTCCACTACCGAGGCTAACACTGAGAATGTTACCTTCGCTGAGTATGGCAACACCGGTGCTGGCGCAAAGGGTACGCGTGCTAGTTTCGCTGAAAAGTTTAGCGAGCCGGTTTCTATCTCAACCATTTTGGGCTCGGATTGGACACAGTGGGTTGATACTAGCTATGTCAACTAAGAATCTCCAGTACTTCAAGAAGGTGAGGATATTAGGATCATATTGGCCCTTCTTACTGGCCGATTTTATATAGTAAGTAGTGTTTGACGTGGATATGTAAATAATACTTTTCGTTTGAATGACTTGCTGTAGTCAACATTGTTGGATTAGCTTTGATGTCATGATACTCTTCTCTTTATCCCGAGACGTACTGGCTATGGATAATTGGATATCCCAAGTAAATTAGGACAAGCTTAGAGGCCATCGAGTCATAATTCTTGAACGAAGAAGATGTTGAGATATCCATACTACGTAACTACGTGCGTGTTCGGAATATTGCCCTTGATTCAGCTCTCCTAGTATTTGACCCTAGTAAGACCCAGTCACAACTGACAGCCGACCACCATCAGTGACATGAACAGAGCCATTCGTAAAACTACCCGCCCGACTAGCAAGGTACAGAATTGCACCCGCCATTTCCTCATCACCGCCGAACCTCCTGGCGGGGATGAACCTCGGATCATCGAGAGTCTCCTCTTCCGGCTTGCGGTCTTGGGTCAGGACGGAAGCCAGTTGGGACGGATAGACTACAAATAATTCCTTATCAGCTCCCTGCACTGAACAATAATTGTTATACCGGCAAGGGACACATACCTCCCGGCGCGAGAGCATTCACCCGAATCCCAAACCGAGCCAACTGGGTGCTAGCGTGTTTAGCCACCTGCATGATGGCTGCCTTACTGGCCAAATACGGGGGCGACGATGAATGATGCCGACTGAAGGCTGAGATACTGCTAGTGAAGATAACCTGGCTCTGGATCGACGGGACGCCGCTGCCCTCTGTGATGGGCTTTCCAAAGCCGCCTTGCAGCGCGTTCCTGTTGCCGGCGTCGAGAAGCTCAAGGAATGCCGTCATAGTGAAAAAGGCGGCCGTGATATTGAGATTGAGGGTGTCGTTCATCTCATCCATAGAGAAATCGGTGAATAGGGTCTGACGCAGCTCTGAAAGAGAGGCGGCTGGGTTGTAGCGTGCTAGAGGCCCGATGCTGCCGGAATTGGCGACGACGAGGTTCACATAACCTACCTCGGCCGTGATGCGGTCTACGGCAGATTGCAGATCTTCTTTCGATGTTACGTCGCACTGCTGCGGGATCAGGCTGGGGTGCTCCTCGGCTGCCTTCTGCAGCACCTCCAGACGCCGGCCTAGGATATACACTTTTCGTGCTCCGTTGAATGCGAGGGCTCGTGCCATGGTTAAGCCAATGCCTGTATGTCGTGACTATGGGTTAAGCAATGGCCACTCTGTGACGGTTCTCATTACCAATACTGACCACTGCCCCCGCCAGTAATGACGGCCACCAAACCATCGACACGGAAAATGGTGCTTGAGTCAATGGATGATGTCATTGCTTCACGCGGAGAAGTGTTTGAGTTGTTCTAAGAGGTGATGTGGTGAGGGGCAAAGACCAAGATGCCAGTCGATGAGAGAAGTCACTAATATCGGGGCCTTATTAAAGCTTTTATGTCGTCATGTACCACATCAGCAAAGTGAGTACGGGGTTATAATTGGTAAGCAACTCTTTGCGTAACTTAGGCTTCCAACCTCGTAGAGTCTCTTTAACTGTGTGGCGAACAGATTAGTTGGAAATGTACATGCGATAGAATGTCGGGGACTATCGGGAAACAAGGCCAATTTCTTGGTTGTGAGAGCATTTATTTACCATATCGTTGAACAATATTAGATGTAGTAAGATACAGCTGGACAGGTCCAATGATCCACTAAACCCCGCAGCATCCTATCACATGTATATCCATTCTTACTGCAATACCTGGTATAGTATAGCTTGGCGGCCATATTCCCGACGGTGGCCGACAATGCTTAGTGTAGGTTACTAAGCTTACAGTGATATGTCCACATAAGCAAGGAGGTTCCCAGCTTACTCTAAGTCTGGCGATAAGAGGTCTAAGAACGACGGAAACACGTTCCTAAGAGGTAAACAGTAGTCAGGTACCTGGATTAGGGGCTCACAAGTAGCAGGCTAACAGCTTGAAGGTTCTTACTAGACTGAACTTATGTTATAGATGTGAGGGCCTTGGTTCTCCCACAAAGCTTACACGCAGAAAAGCACTTCACTACATCCCATTGACTTGGCGTAAGCTCTTAGATGGAGCACTTTAACTTCTTCTGTGTGGGGTGTTCAATTATAGTGGCCAAAGATATGCTAGGTTAGGAACTTCATGTATATCGATTCACTTTGAATAGACATATATCTACAAAGGACCAGATCACCTGGATAGATAAAGCACTCTGGCCACCTTTTGAGGTGCAGAGCGCTGCGGTTCATGCGAATAAGAACGGTTAAACAGCTATTAGTGATGATATCATGGCTTATAGAAGAGCTACTGAATACGTAGATCAGATATATAGCCATGAACTCCAGCACTACGCCCCAGGCACTAATTATGGTTATGCTTGCTCTGCTCCATCCTTTTTCATATCGGATGTGTCTCGCACCGAAGCATGCTTAAGTTAGATGTTTTCATTTCACTGTCTATCAGCTGAGAAAGGTGGGCCCATGCGGGGTAAGACTTGCCAGAAAACAACGCTAAAGGCGTCCAGACAGCAACCCTTGTCTTAATGTGGCATATTCGGTTCCGGCAGCTTCCATGACTAACGATTATAAAGCATCGGGAATACTTTTGGATTGCTAAAGCATTTTCCAAAAGAGGAAGGTCCCTGTATATCTTCAGTCTAACCCTGTGGAAATGCAAGTTGTCAGGCTTGGCTTGTTCTCAACAATGTAACGTCAGGATAGGCAGCTTTGTCAATGGCGATTGTCGGTATACCCATACTACTACCCATACAACACCAGTTGGAACATAATTGCTTCAGCTTTTGTACCCAATGTAAGAGATGCACATGGAGTATATGAGTCCACTCGTAAAGTTCAAATTTATGAATCTAAAACAGCTGGAAAGGGACGAGATGCATTTCAGGGGCACTACGTACAAGAGAACCATCAGTGCAGGGAGATTAAATCTTAGCTCCATTTCGGCTAACTCCGCCATTCTCCAGAAAATCTATACTACATGCCCCACATGGGTCGAGATTGTCCTAGCTATAAAGCTGCTCATTTACCTTCAACATGACGAAAACAAATCTACCTATCCTGTTAGAACAGTGTACTTGCATAGTCAAAATGAAGTTCTTCCAGGTAATCCCCAAACCTCATGATTCCTTCTGTGCTTGAGCTTAACAGATCGTCGACAGTCCTTGACCGTCCTCCCAGCCCTCGCCATGATGACAATGCTACGCCGCTTGTGTCCTACTCACACTATCTTTATGAGAATTGTGACGGTCTCATCACATCTGCCAATCTCGCGCCATCCCATTGCGTTGGTGTGGAAAATTTCCCGATCAAGTCTTTCACGGCGTATGTATCTTCTGGCGCCTGTGACGATTCCAAATCTCTGGTCTTGAATATCTACTCCGGAACGAATTGCGAGTCTGGTTTGGTTCAAACTGTGAGCGTGAATAGCGAGAAGCAGTGCTTCGCCGCGGATACTACAGTTCAGAGCTTGGGGGTTCAGTGTGTTTGATATAAATATGCATGATGTATGTATTTACGATATTGATGATAAGGGTACTGGAATCTGGGGTGTGTACCTACTTGGAAATGAATTCCCAAGGAAATCAATATAAACCTCTGGAGGAACGGTATAAATTATACATCGCCAATTGTATAAAGTTCAAGATAGCGACAGGACATGTCATGTATGCTAAACAACATACAAGGCAGATAGAATCAAGAAATCAACCGGCCGGTATCTCAAACCTCTCTTCACATCCAACGTCAATCTGATATCAAGTTGCGAAATAAGTAAGCCAAAAGTCGGCCAGCTACCCACCAATCTCACACCCTTTCTGACCGCAGCTGCCTGATAGTCAAATTACTTAGCTTTTCCACTGTCCAGCATTCTCCACCCCTCTCGCAACCCTGTTTGCTCCGTCCTCGACTCCCGTTCCAATACTTCCCAGTCCATCGCCCAACGGTTTCCCGGCACTTCCTGTAGCACCCGTGATGGTATCGCCGATTCCTCGAGTAGCGGCGCCTGTGACCCCGCCAACGGTGCGAGAGACGCCTCCGACCGTGTTCCCAAGCGTCGAGGTCACGAATTTGGCGGCGCCAGTGACGCCGCTGTCTTGAGAGGAGGAGAAAGTGTTGTTCGGCATGATGCAGGTGTTTCTTGGTCTGAGCTTTTCTTCGTCCGCCTAAGAGTGGTCTTTTAAGGCACAGGAAAATAAAAGGTTATGAATATGAATGTGGATATGGATATTGTTTGCTTGTTTGAACGTGGCTCTGGCTGATCCATGGATTCGGGCGCGCTTGATCCTTCTTATCTTATCATGGATCTCAGATGATGTCATCGTCCAGGGCCCCTGACGTTGGTGGCGGGCCTTTTATTATTCGACGATGAAACATGTTAAACAGGGAGTTACGGAGGGCTTTCACCACACTATTTCCAGCATGTGAGACCCAGACTCTATATCCGAGTTGTTTTTCTGGCGGAGTTGCGGACCACCATGCTCATGTTCATGTCTGGCCAGCAGGTACTAACCCACCTGTTGCTTCTACACTTCCAATGAATCGTCAAAGAGGGTATATATGAGTACAATAAACCCAACAGTACCTCGTATCTACCATTGGTTACAGTTTGCCATACCTATCCCAACAACCCACATCAACATGTACCACCAACGACCCGGCAGAACCCGGACACCGTTATTCGGCACCCATGCAAGAGTCTGGTTGCGCGACTGAATGTTCAACGCCTTGGTGGAATTGATACTATCGAATTGCCCCGAAAAGGTAACGGCAAATTCGATATGTAGATTATCCTGGGGACCTTCATAGTATTTATAGTCGGATGAGGTGTTACCCGAACCAACAAACCTGAGCTCCAGGGTAGTGTTCGTCACGGTCCCATTCAACATCGTTGTAGGGGGCCAGCCCATGTGTAAGCCGTCCGAATCACAAGTACGCCCAGGGAGACGCACCGCGCCCTCACCCACACCGAATGCCGGTTTGGGGTCGGAAGCAGTAGTAGCATTGAAACGCACGGTGGCTGAAGCAGTTGAATCCGAGGAGACATTCATGATCATCACGTCCGAGGCACCGAACGTATGAGCCTCTAAGTCCGTCCAACCTCTAGTCGTGACAGCCTGAAAGAGATCCGGATCCGTAGGACAAACACTATCCTCTGTCCACTTGATAGGTTTATAGGAGGTGTGGATCTCGCTGACTGGCGCGTCAGATTCCCAAGCCTTGAATCCAACGATGAACGGGTTGAGGGGCCCGGTAGGATAAGGCGGTTGGGGTCCAACCCAGGCGTATCCTAGGAGCCGAAGCTCCCCGTTTGCGCCAGGACATCGCAATCCACCCGTAATGTTGTACGAAAGCTGTCCTTCTCCCTGGAAGTAGGAGCCGTCGTATTCTGTTGGGCTGGCGTCTGTTTTTCTACTGCCTTGGGATGTCCAGTTCCAGGCATTTCCGGGGACAAGGTATGTCGTGCTCAGAAGGTTGTTTGTATTTTCACATTTTGGTGAACCTGAACCGCCGCCGCTTCCACCACTGCTGCCATCGCCGCTGCCGCTGTCGCTGTCAGAATCACCTCCCCCGCCTCGTCTGGCTAGTGCGTTGCCGCTGAAGATAGTGAGAAGAAGCAGGAGCTGGGTGAGAAAGGCCTGCGGCACCATTAGGACTAGGCTATGCTATATGTATTGCAGGGTAGGGTAGACAATACGGAGCAAAAGGAGAAAAAGGTTGGTCGCGACAGATATGGAGTGAAGCGTAGATCACGAAGTTATAAACAGGCGTGTGCATAGACTGCCAAGTGCCCGACCTCGTATTGCTTGGGTCAGGCTACAAGACCACATTATCCATTGGCGGATCGTTGTTGCTGAAGCAAATGAGGGCTTGGACCTATATTAAGCGTCCTTGGCAAAGGAAGACCTAGTGATAGTTGGTTGTGGGAGTTAATGATCAGCCACTTGTCAGACGAAATGAGTTAGGGCGTCTTGGAATAGTCACATTGCGCTTTGGTGTCATGTTAGATACCGAGATTCTATTCATTAATATCAATTTGGCTCTTCTACATGCGCATAGTCAGCCTCACTTCCACGATGAGGCTATGATAGCAAAACACCAGGAGGGTGACTGTATACGGGCCTTAGCGCATTTTCGGCGTTTTATAAGGAGAGTCACCCAATTTAATGCCCTATCACCGACAAAACGTCATAAGACCAACCCAAAAAATAGATGCAATAGTTTGTCTATTATCATGTTGACATTAAATGACTATAGCTTACCCTGCATATTCTCCCTTAATATCTGCTGATTTAACAAGCCCAACAGTACATCCGGCGCATCGAGTTTATTCATGAAAACTTCTACCATCCGCAAACCCTTGCCGTTGGCCAGCTGGGAATCGTTCAACACAGAATCCAAATCTGCCCAGGTCCGGACCTTCCATGTCAGTGCCTTATACTCTCCCTCCTGATCCGCGCCGAAAAGCTCTGGTGCTTTGAGATATCGCCATGGAGCGACATCGTTATATGCCTGGTTGCGGCCATGAATGCACCGCTCGATGGTGTATCCATCATTATTGATCAAGAAGATAATGACATTGAGTCTTTGGTGGATGATAGTACTGAGCTCTTGAACTGTCATTTGGAAGCTGCCATCGCCAATAAATAAGATTGTACGGGGGTTAGATAGACCGTGGTACTCGCTGCAGGAGACTAGATCCCGCTGCGCATGGCTTGCTCCTAGCGCGGCTGGAAGCATGTACCCAATAGATAGCCAGGTGGCCGGCTTGAACAGACGGGCATGCGGGGGTAATATAAACTCATTAACGCCATAGCCCGGTGTTCCAGTTTCACCAAGGACAATGTCTCCAGTACGCAAAAAAGGGGAGAGTCGTTTCCAGAAACCCCCTGTCTGTGTGACTAGGTCGGTAGGAGACTCTTCGGAGAGTGTCTTGAGTGATGGGTGGACAAGGTTATGCTTATGCGTCGGTAACCTGGACATATCGAGTCGCTGTATGAGCTGCTGAATGAAATACCGGACGGGGAGATCGCGGAAGACATCTTTGTTAACCTGGATTGAGTTCGGACTAAACAGGATAGCTGCATCGTCTGCTGGCTTTAAAAAAGAATTGTAGGTGTTGGTGTTGCTGAAGTGTGGCCCGAAAACCAGAACTAAATCACAAGAGTCCAGAAAGGCTTTATGAGGTAGCGTACATACTCCGTAGACGTTTGGTAGCGTTTCATCAATTAAACCCTTGCCAAACCCAGATGTGAATGTTGGCCAGCCTATCATCCGCACAAGGTGATCTACTCCGTGGAGCATGCCGAACGCTCTTGTCTCTCCATCAACCAGAATCATCGGCTTCTTGCTGCTGTATATTCTGTTGAGGACAGAATTAAGAGCTGTTTCCTCCACTTGTGGCTGGCGCACAGCGGGCGGAATCTGGATCTTCGACGACAAGCCCGCCACAGGGACAAGCACCGGCACCATGTCAACAGGAATAGCGATACGAACAGGTCGACTGTGCAACAAACATTGTAGCAAGATCCTGTCAATCTCGGAAGGCGCCGTACGATGATCGTTCAGGTTGACCTGTGCTACAGTGACATGTTCCTGTATGGCGTCAAATCGCTGATAGTCACCGTCATTGAAGGTGTGATGGATCAATGCGCGCGACTCCTGCGAGGCGCGCATGGGTGTCCCAACAATATGCACAACCGGGGCTCTCTCTGCGTAGGCTCCTGCTATGGCATTAATGGCAGATAGCTCGCCAACGCCAAAGGTGGTCACCACCGCACCAATTGCTAAACAGTCAACCTCTGTCAACGCAGGAAGAAACTGAGTAGGGAGTACCTTTGATCCGAGAGTACCCATCCGCAGCATATCCCGCATTCAATTCGTTGCAGTTTCCCACCCATTTGAGTCCCGAAGGTACAACATGATCCAGAAGTGTCAAGTTGTAGTCACCGGGTACTCCAAAGATGGAGTCCACGCCCAATTGGCGCAGACGCCTGAAAAGATACTGGGCGAGGGGTAGAGCTTCCCCTTCCATATTTGATCAGACTGTCCCTTGTCGTAAGTGACTTACGTTGCTCTCTCCTGTATTTTAGGCTTCATTCTTATTTATATATGGCAGAAGGAGAATTCAATCGTCCTATACATCGATCGTAACCTAGGATTAGCTACAGCTATTGCCGATATCCGAAAAGATACATTTCGGCGATAGGAAAATATGGCGCGCAGCTTCATGCCGATCGGAGTACCTAACGCCGAAAGCCGATGGCCTCGGAGGCCTGTTCGATATAGACGTGTAGACATTATTGATGAGAGTCAAATGTTGATCTCCAGACTCCAATACATAAATAAGGAAGCTAGAACGATGATGAGGAACAATCCAAGCAGCAACAAACACTGCGAACATACACTTGCATCATGACTATCCAACAGACCACCATGCAGCCGACTGAGCGCCAGCACAGCACAGGCTCTCTTGACAGCTTCGACCCGATCATGGTAACTCCTGTGATTGGTAACGAGTTCGCCAAAGGAACTTGTAATATCGTTGACGATATCCTACAAGCCCCCAATGCAGACCAACGTATTCGCGACTTGGCCATCATGAGTGAGTACTCCCCTCAAGAAATCGATCACTCAAAACCGCGTTGACATTAGCAGTCGCCGAACGGGGTGTTGTTTTCTTCCGTGCCCAAGATAATCTTACGAATGATTTACAAAAAAGTTAATCCTACGCATGGGCGAGCTGACCGGTCGTCCATCCACCCATGGCCTGCACATTCACCCGGTCACTAATGATGCACGCGAATTTGGTGACCCGGACCCTCAAATCAGCACCATCAACTCCGAGGGCCGCAAGACTCTCTACAAGGGATCTGATTATACCAAGATGGCGGCAGTCTGGCACAGCGACATCTCGTTCGAGAAAGCTCCCGCCGACTATTCGAGTCTGCGACTCGTGCAACTGCCCAAAACGGGCGGCGACACGCTTTGGGCGTCTGGTTACGAGATCTATGATCGCATCAGTAAGCCCTACCGGGCGTTTTTGGAGACATTGACAGCCACACACGCAGGTGTCGGGTTTATGAGGCTGGCACAGACGGGAAAGTTCCATTTGTATGAGAAGGAGCGCGGGGCACCCGTGAATATTGGAGGAGACTTATCGGCTGTTCATCCGGTCGTAAGGACAAACCCAATTACAGGATGGAAATCCATTTTCCCTATTGGTAAGACACATTCTCAGTGTTGTATATACGGATGCTGATTGAGCACTTAGGCTCTTTTCCTACCCAGATCGACGGGTTGACTCGTAGAGAGAGCGCCAGCATGCTGCAGTGGTTTCATGATATGATCACTCACGGGCATGACCTCCAGGTTCGTTTCAAATGGAACAGCCCTAATGATATTGGTAGGTGTCTATGTATCCTATACTATATACTATGAGCTAACTTTCTAGCGATCTGGGACAATCGCAGCGTCTTTCATACCGCGACAGGCGACCATGAAGGGTTTGGCCCCCGAAGTGGTAACCGGGCTGTGGGGGTGGGCGAGGTTCCGTACTTTGATCCGAGCAGCAAATCGCGCAGAGAGGAACTGGGTATTGTGGATGATCTCGCTCCCTGCCATTGGTAGCCTTACGCTGTTCTTGATGTCAAAGTTGTTTATTATATTCATTAATTTCAAGTTCTTCCTTGCTCTGAATATAAGTTATCCCAACCAAAACCAAACACATCCAACGTAGGGAGATTCAGACTCTCGTCAGCCCAGAAGTCTTCTAAAGACACACTTGCGAATGAATTTCGCGCATTAAGGGAAGCCTCTTGCTCTTGAGCTTCTATAAAAGCTGCACTCTGTAGATCGAGTGTGCTCGCCACGGGATCCTTGGAATTCTCAAGATTGGAGAAATGAAGCCCTGATGATCCTTCCACGCCTGCTGTTGACTGTTCTGGTATACACAAACTAGGGGTTGACGCCTCATCGACAAAGGCCATAACTCGGTTGATCATATTCTCCAAGTCGTCGCGGTATTTCCTGAAGCTGGATTTCCGCTCAGCCATAGCAAACATGGCAGACGAGCACGCACGGAGATCATTTGCCACGTTCGTCCTCCATAAACGTGGAGATCGAAACAAACAAAAACTATGGCCATGATTAACTCAACGGAACTAGATAGTGAAGATAGTACGCACCACATTGTGAGTCCGGCAATATATACCGAATTTGACAAGAGGAAAGAGTACCCCGACAGGCCCTTTTGTTGCGAGCGCTTAAACAATTGGCACATTTGCCCCGATACATGCAAGCATGTTCTGATGAGGTCATCTCTTGGATCGAGTATACTCAGAAATGGCTGCAGCAGCGCGCGGACACAGTTGTTCCAGTGCATTTGGATGAAATCATTATCTTGAGGTTGTAAGGGAGGTAAGCCCCTTTTGTACTCCTCTAGCGAGGCTAGCAATGGGTACAGCTCCTGAATCAATGTAGATGCGTTTTTGTCCACGCGGTAAATTTTAGTGTGAGTGCGTGACATGATCCGTTGCAAGTGTACTGTCGCAATAAACCGTCTGATGGCCGGTATATTCGCCCCATCCGCAATACCCAAAGACAATTCACCCCTGTCCTGTTCTACCCCAGCATACTTGCTGGTCAAGTCATCAGTATCAGACGGAATCTGCGCATCAATTTCATCCTCTGCTATACTGAATGGCCGTCCGAGGGACCAGGACACATGTCGCTCAATCACGTATACGCTCCAAAATAGCCTTCGACGCAACTGCGCCTCCAATGGTGTCATTGTCCTGTAGTGTGACTCTCGGTGCATGCCCAGATCGATGCATATCCGCATCGCCGTGCCGATGGTGTACCACAGACTTGAGCTCGAGCTCGATCGCAGCTCGTATATGATCATCAACATGCGTCCTTCGATACCTGTGATAGACAGCGACTCTCGCAGTGCACTATCAAATTGCATTGCAGTAGCATAATATGCGCTGGGTGTCGTCGACTCGTACTGTTCAGTGAGTTGTGGCATCGCTGCGCCAATGGCATATATCATAAATAGCTTGAACATTCCATATTGTTCTTTTTGGCCGGCGCCGGGCACATCGTACCGTCTAGAATGTAGCTGAAGCATATCCGTGCAGTTGATAAATGGCAGTCGCGTGTGCATGTTAACAAAATATGCGTCAAGGAGCTGCCTCCCGACCGTATCGTCAGGCGGTACAGCCTTGCCCTGTTCAGCCGTGGGAGCCGGCGATGGTGGTTCCTGATGTTCAGTATCATGAATAGGAATCGATCTATTGGTCCAGGCAGCATCCTCCACAATAGAACTTAAATTTTCCGTAAGAGTCACACCGGATGAAGGTCCAAAGTATGCGGTAGCTCTGCTTTTCTCGCTAGGTTCTGCCTCGGTCTGTTCTTCAGGCGCAGATGGTGTACCTGCTGGCGACCCAACAGGCTGCCCTCGGCTGGTAGATGGCAATCCTTCAGTAATCGCTGAAAGATGCGCTTCCAACGCCTCAATTCGCTGCGCCAGTGCGCCCTTGGACATCCCATGATGCCAAGATGGAGACGTCTCCAAGCGCAGGCAAGGCTCATTTGCCGCGGTACAGTTGGCGCAGATGGGGAATCCAACACAGCGTTGTTTCCGTCGGTGGCAGCGACGACAGGATTTTGGGACTCTTTTACGAATTCTTGTCGTCTGTTCCATTTGGTATGGCTAGTCGAAAGACGTGAAATCTAGGAGAAGGAATGTCGAGTCGGCTAAGCTTCCCCGCACTTTGGTGCTTTAGTGGCGCTAATTTTAGTGTTGCTCGTCGCGTTGCCGACTTGGATGCAGAGCGAGCACCTTGTGTGATGGCTGGTATACAGTTCATGTCCATCTGCAGCACATAGCTCTTAAAGTTTGTTTCGACACTATTTGATTGTATTTGGGTATAAAGAGTTTCGTTCTGGAAACAAATAACAATAAAGGCTAGTGATATAGAATCAGCAAAGTGACAAATGGCGTGATCGACAATCTACTTTGACGGGGCACGGTGGGGCTGGCGGTAGCATTCGGTAGTGATATGAAGGTATTCAACATGATTTTTATTGTATATCGTAGCCTTTAGGGTATCTTTTATAGCAGGTGGTGAACACCTATCTTTATATGTAATGTCAGTAGATTCCAGGATCATGGTGATTATTTAGTCCTCTTGTTTAGTTAATCTATTTCGGCTCGTGCCGCAGTAGATTATAAAGTGATCTACGAGTAAAGTTACCTGAAAGCTACACGATTTAAGCCCTACCATAAGATAGTATCACTCTGAGATTCTTTCATTCTCTGTTATAGCACCCACCGTTGTCCAATTTGCTATTACATTAAAGACCCTTGTATCTCAGCCAGTACAGATCCAACCGAGGCCCTGCAAGTTATTGGTCTTCGTGAACAAAGAGTCCGAGGAGAGTATTGGCCCGGGACTGGAATGTCATTAATCCTTCGGACTGGAGGTTAAAGGAGGCACATCAACTCTTTCGCGTGGTTCTAGGCCAACACCCTTGTGTACATCTGCCGTCTACATCCTTATTAACCGAAAATGAAGTACTCATTAACTGATACATTATCTCTCCATTTGAAACCGCCAAATCTCCCGTAGGAAAGGTTTCTAGACAGGTCACGCCCATGATAAAGTGTTAATTTTCACAATCATCCAATGATCTTCCCTAAGACGGCCGACAGCCAAGGGCAGAAACTGAACACATTTATAACTTCTTCATTGGCCGATCTTTGAAACAATATAGTAGGAGCCGTAGCTTTGTTCTATGATTTGGTATCAATCAATATAACAAACTTGGCAAACCTTATATGGCTATTGATTGTAGTCTAGAACAAGTCAGGTACCTCTGGGTAGAGCCCACTGAACCGTTGCCCAGCGCCCCAGGCCGTCTTGACAAAGAAAATAGCCACACATATATTACCCTGCTTGATCCCGGGGCAGACCAGGGGTCAATAATTAGAGGCAGACAGTAGTAGGATAACTAAAACTTTGTAGAGTTATAAAGAACCTAGCCCGCTGGAAGGTTATTGCATCAAATCACTGCAATTCTCATTATCATTCTATATTGCAATCAGACTCTCTGTTTAGTTCAGAGAATATGGTTCGACTTATAGTTATCGTCGTTTTCTATTTAGCAGCTCTGGTTGCTGGTCGACACATACACACACACGCCGAAAGAGGCCTATCCATGTTTTGGTCCAAGGAAACGTTGCACTCCCTGTGTCAGGACGTCAAAGTAGAAGAGGAACAGCTACAGAATGGCAATAAGAAACAGTATATGAGGGCAAAATGCAGGGACAACAGAGGCAACACATCTCGGCCCCAAACTCCGTCGGGGGCGGTTGTAGACTCGAGGCTTGACCTGGACCAATGTCTGGCTTGGAACAGGCAGACACACAATTTTAAATCAGTACAAGGGTAGGTATATAACTATTTTATGGCTTGGTTATGCTTTTATTCGTATATAAGTAATAACTAATGAGCATAGTGGAAATGGGATCCAGCAAGGTGGTTGCTATGGCTGTCGTTACTACGACTACAGGCAACTTCTCATCCCTAATATGCACAACTTCCAGTGCATGTGCAGGAACGCGCCGGGGGGTTCATCAATAGAAACTCCGGACTCTGAGTTTGTGACCGCAGGTTCTGTATCTTTTGACATGGGTAAGCGTACCTTCGTGGAAGAGACGAGGCTGCTTTCTAACTAAGGCCCAACAGATGGAGTAATAGGAGCCGTCAGTGGCGTACTGAAATGTCATGGCAGACAAGGGGAAGTTATTCCTCAACAGTATTCTTGACTATTATCTATTTGTTGAAATTGGGTTTGGTTTTAAAATTTTATTAATGATTTTCTGTCGAACTTGGCTTTGAACTGTCCGTTGATACCTGCCATGTTGTAACTCGTCATCTAAGAGACATTATGGATGAAATTTTCTCGTTTCTATAGAATCTAGATACACCGTACGCAATACTCATAAGAGCAACACATATAGCATAAATCTAGTTATCAATAGTTAATTGTCTCTTGAGGATACTGTACAAAGTTTAATACAGAATCCAGTGTATGTATCAATATGCCATACATACTCGCAGACTCGGTAAGCTTACCCAGAACCTGGACTTTTATCCGAGAGCAATTTCTTATCTCAAAAGTACAAGTGTGCCAGCCGTACAAACAACAGCTTAGTGGTTTCTTAGTCAACATACTTCGGGGGCACAGAAAGTTGAAACCCTAATAATTGATGATTCTAGAGCCTCGCATTCGCCATTCTAGAAGCGCATACGTCTCGTAAGTCTCATTCCTTGACTACTCAACATGAGACATTATCACTTGGAATATTCTAGACGCGTGTATGTTTCAAAGACTGAGATTCTAATTCGGTTGCCAAAGGCACTGTTTGAGATGCTGACTGAGGCCCCGAAGAAAGCTCGTATTTGTTTCAAAGCCACAGCATCATGGGCTTAATTTCCAGCTGCAGTCTGATATATATGGATTATTGCTTGATACAACTCCGGGCTAGAATCTCTCCTAGAGTAATCTCTCAACGTGTCTCAGACCCCTTATCAATAGTAGTAAATTTAAACCTAACATGT